AGTGAGCTATTGACCTCACATCCCTCTTTGACACTGACACTTTTCTGAGCATCGCACACACCAGGAATTTCTGGGCGGATAAACTTTCTCATGAAGCGATCAAGGTGATGCATGAACGAGTTCCTACAACGGCCACGGAGCCACCACTGGACATGTTTGATGCTGCCAACACATCTCTGACCCTAGATGATCGTTGCAAGCAGGCCTTCCTCTCGGACGACTCAGATCCAGTCTTCATGAGTGCATACGAAAACCAGCTCCTGGAGCTTCTTTGTTCTTTCAAAGACGCATTTGCCCACCTTAGAGGTCATTGCCATGAGATCAAGCTCTTTGACAATGCCAAGGCATAGGACATTTCAACACAGCATTGTTGCCATCAATTAAGGAGGAGAAACTTCTACATGTGGGAGTCAAGAGATTGGTGTCCAACATGGTTCTGTGGAAAGTTAGTGGCAAGCTGTGGATTTGCATAGATGTCCAACATTTCATGACATTTGCCTTTCATGACTTGCCGGGTGATTCACTGTGGGTCTTTTGAGGAGCATTTGTGGCACTTGGAGCTTGCTGGCATCATTGCTTCACTCTTAACCTAGACAAGTGTAAGTTTGCTGTCACCAAAGGCTGCCTCTTAGGCTTTGATATCTCCAAACAATGTGTAGTCTCTCACATGGCACAACACAAAGAATTTTTGGAGTTTTCGCCCCTGACCTCAGTCCACAGCTGCACTGTTTTCTTGGGATCCTTTTGACGTTTTATCCAAGGCTACGCCTCAATGTTTTTTACCTCTGGTGATGCTATTACACACCTTTCATGTGGGGAGCTCTTCAAGAACATGCATTCAACAAGCTTCAAGAGGCTCTTCACCATGAGCTTGGTAGGAACGTGATGAGTGACTGTGGATTACAACCAAAACCTCACACATACTATTACATTACTCCAATATTGTCTAATATATAGTCATTGTAGTAGTAGTAGTCAGCTTAAGTGGCCAAAACAAGCTTTATAGGATTCTTTTTACAATCACTAGGAGGAACATACACTTGGCATAATTATAACCAATCTATACCAAGGATAAAGTCAAAAACTTGACTCTACACCATCTATAATAACTGTAACTGAAGTTTAGATTGCCCACACACACAATTAGATTTGCCTCATCCTGTGCACATGTATATATACAACTGTTGCTATAAAGAATGAAAATTGACTTTACTATATGACGCAAATGTAAATGGCAATATGTTGCAACAAGTTGAGTAATAAAAGATAAACTCAAGCCTATATCAATTAACATGGAGAGAAAAATAAGAAATCTTTTGTTATAGAAATAAGTTTGGAAAGTAACACTAAATGAACTGGTGTGGAGTGAACCCTTTGATAATACTCATAAAAGAAAGATGGAGGTGTCACTAATGTATTCACATAAGGTCCTTGTACTACTTGTGTGACTCTTCGTTTTCTAGAAGCATCTTAGTGTCCAAACTTTCCATTGCAACAACACTAATAGGACATTATTGACACAAGATTTCCACCTAGATGACGTCCTATGACCTATGGCATCTAGGTGAAAATCAGTCTGGTTATGGCAGATGTCCTCACCCTTGTCCTTGAACTTGGGCAGCAGTAATATTAACATCCATTGGAATAAGACCATCTCTTACAAGAAGTGGAGATAAAGGACGTGCAATGAGAAGTGGAAGAGGTGACGTCTTATAATGTTATGCCAAGCGAAGAGCATCGTCAAGTGCATGCATAAAGCTTACAAGATTTTGAAGAAGTGCTAACCACAAGATTCTCAACTTGATCCACTTTAACATATTTAGCTTTGCACGAAGAAAGAGGCTTCTGAAACAAATGCTAAATTGCATCACAAAATCAAATCACTTTTGATGAAGATGATGCAATTGTTAAAGGCATCATCATAATCATCAACATATCCAAATGTGCATTTGAATACGTCTAGGAGAATTTTCTAATCTTCACGAGTGGTTGTGCTGAAACCATTGTACCATTGCAGTACCATCCCTTGAAGACACATGGGAAATTCATGCAAACACCAAGCATCATTCCAAGAATGATTTATAGCAATCACCATGAAATGATTGAACCAATGGTACACATCATCCCTAGAATTTTCATAAAAAAACTCCGACCAGACATAAGGATTAGTAGCAAGAGCAGAAGGAGCTGTACCAAATAGTGTGAATATTACCATTAACTGAGTTTGATTGTTTAATTGCAACTACATAGCATTAAGCAATTGCACCAATTACTACTCCAGAGTCAAAGGAGGAGGAAACTGCTTCTCTACCATGAAAATGAATGGAAAAGGAAAAAGCAAAATAGGAAGAAATTAAAAAAACTATAAAGAAAGAGAGATTTAAACAAGATCTATAGCAAAATCCCAAATCCAAGCACTTATTAGTGACAATCAAATTTGCCCCTATCTCCACCAATATAGAATATGTCAATTAGCCTAAAAATTTTAACTTATATACATGGGTAAATAGTCTAAATTGAAACCAATTTGATGGCTACCAAAATTCTATTATGCTAATAGTAGTATATAACATCATAGCCATACACTTAGACCTCACAAACATTCTTTTACAATTATAATTTAACATTATCTATTGTAAAAAGTTTTTTACTTTTTCCAGTTTATGGCCTTCCATCCCTTTCTCTAGAGCCTAGAGCTTCACAAGTTTCCCATCAATTCATTGGAATGGCCCTTATGCAGCCAGACTCGTGCATGCTAGAATTGCAAAAAGAAAAGCCATGGTGTCTGCACACCCTCCATGCGACTACGTCCTTAAGAAGAAATCCAAGGCCACCTTGACTTCACCATTTTGAGCATATCCTAGTATAATTGTCATCCAGGAGCCAATATCTCAATGGGCTATTCCTTCAAAAACTCTATAGGCCTCCACCATATTGCCAAACTTTGCATATATATCAACCATAGTGCTAGTGATGAATACATCAGACTCATAGCCACTGCAAGTCTAGAAACCTGGAAAAGCCTTTTCTTCTTGTCACTATGATCAGAGCTTTTGGTCTTGCTGCCAAGTTGCTAAAGGCCTTGAGCACCACAACAAACGCTTGACATGCATCCCTCACATTGCATGACAGAGAAGAAATAGATGACCTTGTTCATTCAGGACATGCCTCAGGATCAAAATCATCCATGACACGACATTTGGCTGGAGAATCCCTCAAAAAACTCTATGAGCTTCCTCAATTCTCCCAGTGTACAAATCCTGACCCATCTTGAGCAAAAATTCAACTGGAGCACATCTTGATCAGTGTGACAAAGCTCTATGAATCCAGGGGACATCTCTTAGCGGTGGAATATCTCTAGAGATAGATATTCCTTACTGCTCTCAACATAGCCAAGGATGAGAGACATCCACAAAGCAACACTATACCGGTTGGCAACCTTTCATGCCCTTGAAGATCCAGAGCACTTTCACCATGAGTGCACACTTGGTATACATGTGAATCAGTGCATTCTCCACACCTGCATTCAAGGAATAGTTGAGCCAATCAATCTCAATATGGATTTCCCTTCCCATTTGGACATGAGGAATTAACATTTGAAACACCTCCTGATCAAAATAGATCCCCTCCCCCATGTCATGCAGATGGCTCACTGCGACTTTGAATAGTCGATGGTCCTGAATGCCCAACTTGCTCCTGAAGTGCTTCATGCACATAAGCTTTTGTTGTTGAAATTTCTTTGCTTTGGCTAGAATGACAGCTTGACAGATCTCAGGTACCTTTGGTCTACTTGTTAGCAGCTTATCCAGTTTGAGCTTTAGATGCTCTTTCAAAACTTTCACGCTCTTGACCTACTTAAAAAATAATTAAAGTGTTACTTATTTTAATCTAGGCCAAGTTTTTAATTTCAACCATTTTATCAAAAGCATATTCCTAGATAATATTCTAAAAATGAATATAAATGCCAAATGCAAATAGCATTTTTAGATAAGTGAGTATGAGGATTTTTTATATGGCAATAAAATTATATAATTAAAGTATCAAAACTCCTTCAATATGATTTATATCACTTTTGCAGTAATTATCAATATCAAAACATATAAGGATGTCTAAAGCTCTACTCAACAAAATTGAGAAAAAGACTTTAACATTCAAGTTGACACCTGGTTTACACACTCTAAAAGTTTAAGCACTATTTACTCAACAAAACCATCCTCACTGATAAAATTGTATAATGGTTCTTACTATTTCAAGAATACAATTTCAAATTCATTTATACACTTAACAAACAACATGAACAAGCCAACCATGAAATTGTCAACCCCAATAAGCTCAAGAATATTGATCAATCAACATGAACCTCATCAACAATAATCTTGAAAGAAGTGAAGGCTACAATCATGACACTCTAGAATTCAAAATGAAGAAGTGGTGGGGCGAGGGAAACCTTGCCCCACAATCAAAATCCTATGAAGATCAATTGAAAAATTATAACTCAAAGACTTTTCAACCAAAAACAAGAATTAAAGACACAAGAATCTTCCAAGACTCTACAATAAACACACAGAAGATGAGAGACAAACAAGCCCTCTGAAGTTTACAATCAGAAGAATGAGAAAACCCAAGATAAAGACTCAATGGGGAAACAAAGAAGCATAGCAGCACACTCCCTCACAAAGGAGTTCTACCTTGATGAGACCTAGTGATGAGGAGTTAGGCATGCAACCCCTCCTGGCATTTAAGGCAGAAATGGTGTGCGCTAGTGACTGCAAGTGTCTCCTCACTGCTGAATACTTTGGAAGCTTCCAACTAGAGTAGAGTGCATCACATCGGCAAGAAGGGCATTGCACCCGAATGCATCAAAGTCTTGGAAAACAACAACAGCAGTGATTCTCTCCAAATGAGCAATGAAGCCAAGCCACGATTGAAGTTCTTGGTCTCCACACTCGAAGTGCTCAAGTTCGCTATCCTCTATTACAGCTTGCAGAAGAAACAAGAGTGGACATTGTGAGGACAGTACGTGACGGCCATGACTGTGAGACTAATGATTCCATACATCATGGCGCTCTTCCCAGCACTCGACTTCTCAACACTTTAACATTGGGAAATAAAATTTAATGTCAACCGAGATTTAAGCTTTGGCGATGGCTGCTGATAGATGCGCGCGGCGATCTCCAGAAGCGGCGTGGACGATCTGTGCCGGAGCTACGCGCGCCTCCTTAGGGAATGCGGTAGGCTGGGGGATTTTTCACAGGGCAACCGCCTCCACGCGCAGATCCGTGAATCAGGGCTCCTGCTGGGCGATCGCGAGGAGAGCGGCTCGCGATTCTTGGGTAACTGCCTCGTCCAAATGTATGGCAAATGCGGCAGGACTGACGAGGCGCAGCGCGCATTCGACTCCATCGCGCACAAGAACATCTTCTCCTGGACGTCGATTCTCGTGGCGTACTTCCACGCGGGCCTCCATAACCAGGCGCTGGAGAGATTCCACCAGATGATCAAGGCCGGCGTGGAGCCCAACCGACTTGTGTTCCTGGCGGCTCTCAACGTGTGTGGCATCCTCAAGCGGCTCGAAGATGGTGCCGGGATCCATCGCCAGATCCAAGACAAGCTGCTGGATTCCGACTTGGAGATCGGGAATGCGCTGGTCAGCATGTATGGGAAGTGTGGGAGGCTGGATCTTGCCAAACAACTCTTCAATTGTTTGGAGAGGAGGAATGTGATCAGCTGGACGATCTTGGTGTCCGTGTTTGTGGAGAATGGGAGGAGGAGAGAGACTTGGGGGCTGCTTCGATCCATGGCGGTGGAAGGGATAAAGCCGGACAAGGTTTTGCTCCTCACGCTGCTCAACGTTTGCTCCAGCCGGGGAGTTTTGGACGAGGATAGCTGGATGGCTCACGACTATATCGTCAAACAAAAAGAAACGATCGAGTCTTAAACTACACCTTGAAAAAATACCCCAGAGTGCACTGAAGCCAAGGACTATCTGGAGAATGGAGGCACAGATGAGAGTTCCCTGGATAGCTTTCATCGAGTGAAGAAACCTCTGAGAAGAACGATGGAAAACAACTTTCAGGGTCGATCAGAAGAAAGAAAAATGGATTTTTTTTGTACCTCGCGATCGTCTGATGGCTCGCAGCTTGGGAGAGTTGATGATGCTGAAGATGGGGAGGATGTAAGCGTAGGAGCCCCCCACAATGGCCGGAAGCCTGGTTCCAAGGAAGGACTGGATGAGCGTCTTGATGCCGCTCGCAAAGAGTGAGCAGCCGAGACCATTGTTGTCGGATTCCAGCACTATCTTACCATGGTCGGAACAACGGTTTTGGTCACGACTCCTCTCGTTTATGCCATGGGAAACGATGTAAGTTTTCTTGTTTTCTGGAAAACCTTGAACTTTCTTTGAGCGTCTTCTTCTTCTCGATCGCTGATAGAGAGAACTAAATCGGTTGCTTGCTCTTCTTGTTATGTCTTCTTTCCCTCTAAAAAAAAAGTAGGCCAAGAAAGTCACCACGATCAATCCATCGGAGAAACCGCAAGAACAAACCGAGAGGAGGGCTGTCATTGACACAGTAGTCGAGCTCGGGGAGCTGCTCTTGAACCAGATTCTAGTAGTCATTTTTTCCCCCTCCTCCAGACATTTTGATCTTCTCCGTGATGAAACCACTCAATCGCTCGATCGATCGCTCGACCGCTGCTCGCAGCTTTGCTCGTCTCTTCCTTTCTTCCTTGCGGCAAAAGAAACAAAAACAAATCTAAAGAGGAAGATAGTGCCACTGTAGGGAACGCGCGTAAGCCGGGTCGGCATTTCGTGGCGGAATGTCGAGAGGCAACGCGATCGACGGCCTGGATCTTTTGGTGGGGATAGTCCGGGCTAGCGTTAGGGGTTAAAGTAATCATCAGCGAATTCTTTCAACGGTAACTTTCGACGCGAGCCAAAGATCGAGAAAATTAAATCCTTGCATGGTTTTTACGGCGGCCAACTTTTCCAAGATATGAATATCGGGCTCTGTGATGTCGATGAATCGCAATATTTATTTTTATGCATGTAAGCAGAGCATGAGCATGAAATATAACAGTGACAAAATGTTACTTTATCAACTTTCTGGCATCCGGAATCTCTAAGCATTCCTATTTCGTTTTGTAGTTTTATAATATAAATTTAGCTAGCTTAGCTTAGCGTGCTTCCAGAAACGACTGTGTCTCGAGAGGAATGGAGCTCGAGTTACCAGTTCCAGCTTCGTGATCAAGTGGTGTTGGAAATGGTGGAACCGCAAGCTCGGAGCTGTTGTCCTCGAGCATCTGGATAACCCGGCTCATGCTGGGCCTCAAATTCGCATCGAGCTGGATGCACCAGAACGCAGTCTTGAGCATCCTCTCAAACTGGCTCCACTCGACACTCGTGACAGGCTTTGGATCCACAATGCTCTCAAACTCTCCCGCCATGTACTTCTGGAAAGCCCACACGGAGAAATAAGTGTTCTGGCCGGATCTTGACTTGTCATGGCCGCTTAGAAGCTCGAGCAGCACCATTCCGTAGCTGTAGACGTCCACTTTGGTGGTGATGGGCCGATTGCTGATCCACTCGGGCGCCAAGTATCCTCGAGTTCCTCGGATGGTGGTCACGTTGAGAGCCATCTCCTTCTTGGTCAGCTTTGCAAGGCCAAAGTCCGCCACCTTTGGGCACAAGTTTTGGTCGAGGAGGATGTTTTGTGGCTTGATGTCGCAGTGGAGAATGCACTCGTAGCACTCCTCATGCAAGTAGGTGATGCCCCTTGCAATGCCCATAGCAATGGAGTATCTGAACAAGAGAGTGAGTTTAACCTTAGGACTTTGCGATTTTCTATGACAATACCTGGTTTTCCAAGGAGCTCTTATCGACGTCAACACTTTGTCCAGCGATCCATTGGTCATGTACTCGTAAACCAGAACCCTGTGGCTGCCCTCGACACAGTAGCCCAAGAGTTTAACCAAGTTGACGTGATGAATCGTTCCAAGAGTGGCAACCTCGGCTTTGAACTGGTTTTCTCCGTGAGTGGCAACCTCTAGAGTCTTCACAGCCACCACTGTTTTGTCCGGAAGAACACCCTTGTAGACACTCCCAAATCCACCGGAGCCGAGTTTGTGACGGAAGTTCCCAGTAGCAATTTCCAGTTGCTCGTATGAGAATCTCGTCGGCCCATGGTGATCACCAGCATGTTTGTTCCACATTTTCTTGTTAGATCTTCGCCACCACATCGACGTTGCTATCACAACGCAGCACAGGATCACAAATTCCCCCACCGCCACACCAAACACGAGTGCTCGAGAAGCCGTGAAGAACTTGGTGCCGCTAGACTTGCGACTGTCCGCTTGATATAGATCGCTGGCATTCATGCTCGTGACAAAGAGGTTTTTCATGTCGTTTGGATCGGCTTGTGCGCGTGTGTCCGAGGCCGAGAGTTTGATGAGAGCGATGGATGCCTTTTGTGGCGACTGGACAATGTTGTATGGAGTGCTGCCACCTTTCCTTAGCCGGCATTGCCCCGAGCCGTCAAGCGTGTAGGCAGCACCAACGCACTGGCAATCGTCCAAGCAAAGTTTCTTGCACTGCTCCAAGGACATGCTGGAGTTTAAACCGACGATGTAACCACTTCCAAGAAAATCGGCTCGAGCTAGCTCCACCATCTTGCTGTTGCTACAGTTCAATGGAAAGTTGTAGCTGCATCCCGGAAAATCGCCATCGAGCTGACCACTGCTCCTATCACGTACAGTATGAAATCCTGGGGGGCAAACGCACGACTTCCTGGGCTGGTACTTGCAAAGCCCGAAATTTCCACACGTCCCAAACACATCGCACTCGAGCAGTAGCGATTGCCACACAACTCTCCAGAGAGATCTCTCTCCATATGTGCTGTAGCTCCGCAAAGTTCCATTCTTTTCCAGCGTGAGCCTCCGCAAGACGCTGCTGTTTCCGTAGTCTATCGGGTACCGCTGCGCGTTGTCATACTTGTAGCGATACCAAGAGCTTCCATTTGCGTCGAAAAACTCGAGACTTCCATTCCTGTTGAAGGTGAGCCTGGGGATGGAGTTTTTCATCGTCACGTCAAGATCCTTGTTGAGAACACTCCAGTAGGATTCATTCGCTGAAAAGCCATCAAAGTAGAGGCCAACACTGCTCTTATTCATGCTCAGTCTATACTTTCCGGAGACCAGCGTCATGTTTCCAACCAGATCTTGCTCGGGAAGAATTGTATCTGTTGGTGAGTCGAAGCTCTGCCAGAGCCTTGTTCCATTGCCGAGCAGCACAAGGTTTCCATTTTCCTCCAGAGAAGCTACGGTGACAGAGCAACGATTGTTGCATCGCAGATTTGAAGTCCACACGGGCTTGGAAGCGTCTGTGACGACGAGACCAGTTGCGGTGAGCTCGAGAACTCCATTTCTGCTTACGCTTACTCTCTCTTTCGTGCTTGCGCCATTGTCTAGCGTGGCTTCCCAGACGACAGTTCCTGTGCTTTGGTACCAAATTGCGAGAGTGGACATACCACTAGTAGTGCTGTAGAAGCCGAATGCGAAAGTGTTCCCACGAGAAATCCATGGTGGGTTTCCGGCACTGAGCTTTTCTCCCAGTTGAACTGCTCTGGAAGATAGAACGGATGAGAGTGTAGCGATCAGCACTAGGGAAAGAGCTTTTGCCATAGTTCCAGTGAAGAACAAAGATAAGGCACTGACCTTGAGTATTTACACAATACCATCTGCCGTGTTAGACTAGCAACCTGGAACTTGGAAAAAGCCAAAACATAATGCAGGCCATCTCGCTCGAGAAGGCCCACACAAAGCGAGTCAAGTCTTTGGAATATTCACTAGATCAGTCTAGATGAAGGTCCACAAGATGAGATCTTGTTCCAAGCTACAGATATAAGATTCCCACAAACCACTCTCTCTGCCGTGTCAAACACTTCCACCTTGTCAAAGATGGGCCCCATTGTTTTTGCTTTTGGAGAAGTGCGTCTGTGACGACGATGACTCGCTTTAGAGCACGTCTAGTCTTCAAGAGATGTACCTTAGTTAACACGGGTGGCTTGTTTGACTCCCTCTTCTGGCTTGCTATCATGGAAGGAGTAACAATCTTTGCCGTCTCCACCACTCTGCTGCTACATTTCTATCTCTTGGCATTGAATTTTGTTCGCGCGGAGTCAGGTGATATCCACCTCGGCCAAGGCATTGAAGTTGGAGAGTCTTGGGTTTCGGAGGGACGCATTTTTGCTGTAGGTTTCAAGTCGATCGCTGACAGTAAGCGCTTCAGCCTCGCGATTTGGTATGTGTTTGACCCCGATACGATAGTTTGGACAGCCAAGTCCCTCGGCAGCGATCAGCCACTTCTTGTCACTGAAGATGCGAATCTTATCCTCACCAACGATGCACTTCTTGTCAACCAGGGAAGCGCAGAAAATGTTCAATCTGTGTGGAAGACAGTGATTATCTCATGTGATCAGTGCATCTCCAAGGCCAGGATGTCCGACACTGGAAGCTTCATGATGCTTGATGCCCACGATGGAATACTGTGGCAAAGCTTTGATTCTCCAACCAACACCCTCCTTCCTAACCAACAGCTCGTCGGATCAATGACCCTTGAGGCAGGAAAGTATAGCTTGGAACTTAATCCCATTCAAGTCATGCTCCGATACAAGGAATATCTCACACAGCCATACTGGACCATCACCAACACCAACTTATCTATTGTCAACATTTCCAGTCTTGACATACTCCCTCGGTTCAACATGAGTGGTGATGGCGTTCTCACTTTCTACGACGGCACTGGGAACTCTTGGGACAGTTCTACGATCTATGCAATTGACCACAAGGGCAGTAGTGTTCTTACTAGGAGGCTCACTCTGGATGCCGATGGAAGCCTTAAGATGTTTAGTGTGGATCGCAATTCTTCGTCATGGATCACAGTTTGGACAGCTGTGTTTATGGAGTGTGACATATTCGGAGCTTGTGGGCAGTTTGGGATTTGTACCTATACACCTGAAAAGACTTGCAGATGCCCTCCAGGATTTCACAGGATCAATGAAACTGATCCCTTAGCTGGATGTGCTTACGACATTCCTTTGCATTGCAACGCAACCAATAACAAGTTTGTTCGTATTTACCGGGCAGATTACCCCTGGAATGACTACAACTTTGATGCTAAGCTTGTCATGCCCCTTCAAGGTTGCATGGAAAGTTGTTTGAAGGATTGCAACTGTTTGGCAGCTGCTTACAAATATCAAGGGACAGACCTCTGCTTTCACAAGGGAAATGCTGGGAAGCTTTTCAATGGCATCCAGACAGCATTTCTAGAAAACTTTGTTCTTCTCAAAGTGGCAGGAGAATCACAAGTTGAAGGTTTTGCATACTCAGGTGATCTGAACAATATTGATGCTTTTGTCACAGATACAGAAGAAATAATGTTAGTTTATGGAAGTAGGACCCCAAAAAACAGCACCAGTCGAAAGCATATATATTATGCTCTCTTGGCAATTGCAATTACAGAAGGAGTTTTTATACTTGCAATCACTATGGTCTGGATGATAAAAATGAAGAATTAAATTCAATACACTATATTATTTGCAATTACTTTTCAGCAAGAACTACATGTTTTAAAATCCTAACATAAGTCTTGATCAAATATCTTGTTCTCCGGATCATTGTGTTCCAGCAGCTGCACTATACGGCTCATAGAGGGCCTTGAACTTGGGTTTTGCTGGATGCACCACAATGCAACCTTCAGCAACAACTTAAACTGCGGCCAATCAGTCTCTGCCATCTCCATCTTTGGATCTGCAATACATTGTAGCTCTGAGGCTATGTACTTCTGAAAATAGTCCTCCATTCCTGAGGGAAAGCTTTCGAAGCTTGTTCCAGCCAATTCGTTGAAAATCATCTTATTTGTTCCACTGAGGATGTCAAAAAGGAGCATTCCAAAGCTATAAACATCGATCTTGGGGGTGACCGACAGACCATCCAGCCACTCGGGTGCCAAATAACCCCGGGTTCCCCTTACAGTCGTCACGCTCATGGAGTGCTCTCTTTTAGTCAGCTTGGCTAGACCAAAGTCGGCAATCTTTGGACTCATTTGATCATCCAGAAGTATGTTTTGTGGCTTGATGTCGCAATGTATAATACACTCCTGGCATTCCTCGTGTAAATAAGCAATGCCTTTTGCTATGCCTAGTGCTATAGAAAACCGAGTCTGCCAACTCGAGTCAGAGGAGCCTGAATTACTGGATAGATAATTGTCGAGTGAACCATTTGGCATGAACTCGTAGACAAGGAGCCTGTGAACACCCTCCACACAGTAGCCAAGCAGACGTACAAGATTAACGTGATGTACCTTTCCAATAGTATTCACTTCCGCCTTGAACTGCTTCTCTGCATGAGTAACAGCTTTGATCACCTTGACTGCCACAATACCACCTTTTTCAGGTATTTCACCTCTGTAGACGGTTCCGTATCCACCAGAGCCTAGCGTCTCCTCAAAGTTATTGGTGGCCTCTTGGAGTTGTTTGTACGTGAACTTGGTAGGAGAACCCTCAATCTCTGCTGTTAAAGCCTCCCATTCCTTTCGAGATCTGCGCTTCCACATCGAGAACATGGCAACTCCAATAGCAGCAAAAGCAACTAATTCTGCAGTGGCGATGGCTATGACAACTGAGTGAAGGTGCATAGAAAGGTAACTTTCTTTGTGATGAGCAGTGAAAATGTTGCTCAGTGTTGCATTTGTGTTCGACATGAAGTAATCATAATGGTCATCAGCAGCTAGTTTGTCGTTGATGGATACTTTCATGTACACAAGGTTGGGCTTGTCAAACGACTGCATCCCATTGTAGAGTCTATCCTGTCCCCCCTTGAGGAAGCATAGACTATCACCGTCTTGAGCCTTGTATGCAGCTGCTAGGCACTGACAATCTTTTAGACAATTGGCCTTGCATTGCTCCAAAGTTGTGACGGCAGCGTCAAATCTATAGTCACTGTAGTAGTAGTCGGCTCGGGTGGCCAAGACAAGCTTTGTAGGATGCTCACAGTCCATAGGAACATTATAATCACAACCCTGAGAATCATCGATGGGATCAACACGATGGAATCCAGGAGGGCAGCTACAAGTCTTTTTTGGTCGATAGGTGCAAAGGCCAAAAGCTCCACAGGCTCCAAAGACATCACATTCCTGCATAAGTGCTTGCCAAACAATACTCCAGGACCTGGTGTCGTTTGAGAAGCTATACATTCTCAGATTTCCATCGTCATCTAGCTTAAGCCTCCTCAAAACGTTCGAGATTCCATAATCCAGTGCATATTTGTGAGAATTTTCAGTTGCTATGCCAGTTGCGTCATAATACGATAAAACTCCATCAGAGCTCAAGTTGAGAACTGCTGGAAAACGTAAAGACCCATCAGTCTGGCACTGTATGTTACTGTTGACTTGCTCCCCAGTATCATCAATAAGGCACGTTTGCGAACTGTTAACAGCAGGATTTGCTATGTACCAGTATCTCTGAGGAATGACAAATTTCTTGTTATTGTTCCTCAGGAAAACCTGACCCCTGTTGAGCTGGAGTGCATAGTTTCTCGACTGAGAGAACAGAATTTTAGTATCAGAAACCGTTTCTGTGTGAAATTGTTGTTCAGGCAAGATGGTGGTGGTGGGAACATCAAAACTTTTCCATGCAAATTGCTCATTCTCTCCATAGACCACCAAGTTGCCAGTCTCTAAAAGAGAAGCACCTTTGGCCTGTCCAGAATTAGTTCGCCACAGAATGGAAGCTCGATCGATGATGACGAGTCCACCATCAGACCTGAGCTGAAGCTGTGCGCTTCCACTGGCATGGACAAACTGCCCGTTATCAGTAGTTGCCATCCAAACAATTTCTTCAGGATCGATCTGGTACCATATTGCTAGATTGTAGGCCTCGTCCATTAGATGAAAACCAAGAGAAAAAGTACCTCCAGATGAATTCCACTGGCTTCCCAGCTTGAGACTGCTCCCAATCTCTATTTCCATTGCACTGCACGCAATTGCAAAGGCGACAAGGAGTAAAAACGCTAATGCCATGGCAAGAAAGAGTGGTGCGTAAGAGTCACGCAGATAGTCCTTTAAAGTCTCTGCGTGCTTGACTTAAAGTCAAGTTATTGACTGTCAGTCATACCTGTGTTCTGGGACCTCCTAGGAGACCTTTTTCTTGTGACAGAAAAAGAAGGAAAAGAGAACGTGCCCAAACAATGTTAGAAGTATTCTATAATGGAGTGTAGACCACGGCTTCTAGAGTCCTAGAGCACACCCACAGACCCTTAGCGACCAACAATAATATTATTTATGCTCCATCAAAGCAGATAAATAGAAATAATATATTATAATAAAGGTCATTGTGTTCTCGAATGGGCCTCGAACTTGGGTGTTGCTAAATCCACAAGGCAACCTTCAGCAACAATTCACAGTTTCTGAAATTTCCATCTCTGGACATTTTAGCTCCGAGGCCATGTACTTCTGGAAAGCCCATGCCAAATCCTGAGGCAAGGCTTTCTAAGCTTGTTTCATGGCTCTCTGAAAATCATCTTGTTTTTCCATAGAGGATGTCAAAGAGGAACATTATCGGGCCAGCAAGTAAGCAAACAAAGGGCAATAGCATATTCTTGAGTTTCTTGGAGTTTTAAAACCCTAGAGAATATGCCCGAGATTTAGGGTCTGGCGATGGCTGCTGGCAGATGCGAGCGGCGATCTCCAGAAGCGGCGTGGACGATGCGTGCCGGAGCTACGCGCGCCTCCTCAAGGAATGCGGTAGGCTGGGGGATTTGGCGCATGGCAAGCGCCTCCACGCGCAGATCCGCGAATCAGGGCTCCTGCTCGACGATCGCGAGGAGAGCGGCGCGCGATTCCTGGGCAACTGCCTCGTCCAAATGTATGGCAAATGCGGCAGGACTGACGAGGCGCAGCGCGCATTCGACTCCATCGCGCACAAGAACATCTTCTCCTGGACGTCGATTCTCGTGGCGTACTTCCACGCGGGCCTCCATGCCCAGGCGCTGGAGAGATTCCACCAGATGATCAAGGCCGGCGTGGAGCCCGACCGTCTTGTGTTCCTGGCGGCTCTCAACGTGTGTGGCATCCTCAAGCGGCTCGAAGATGGTGCCGGGATCCATCGCCAGATCCAAGACAAGCTGCTGGATTCCGACTTGGAGATCGGGAATGCGCTGGTCAGCATGTATGGAAAGTGTGGGAGGCTGGATCTCGCCAAACAGCTCTTCGATTGTTTGGAGATGAAGAATGTGATCAGCTGGACGATCTTGGTGTCCGTGTTTGCGGAGAATGGGAGGAGAAGAGAGACTTGGGGGCTGCTTCGATCCATGGCGGTGGAAGGGATAAAGCCGGACAAGGTTTTGCTCCTCACGCTGCTCAACGTTTGCTCCAGCCGGGGAGTTTTGGACGAGGATAGCTGGATGGCTCACGACTATATCGTCGGGAGTGGATTGGATCGTGAGGCGGTGGTGGCCACCGCACTGCTCTCCATGTTTGCGAGGTGTGGGAGAGTGGACAAAGCCAGGGAGATCTTCGAAAAGGTGGCGGATCACTCGGCACAAGTGATCGAATGCTGGAACGCGATGATCACGGCTTACGCTCATAGAGGGTGCTCCAAAGAGGCTCTTTTCCTGCTCGATTCTCTCCAGCTCCAGGGAGTGAAGCCGAATTGCATCACTTTTATCAGTTCTCTCGGTGCCTGCTCAAGCTTGCAAGACGGTCGAGCTCTACACCTTCTCATCGACGAGAGTGGATTCGATCGAGAGGTATCGGTGGCGAACGCGCTGGTGACGATGTATGGGAGGTGCGGGAGCTTGCTGGATTCGGCTAAGCTCTTCTCGGAGATGGCTGAGAAGGACTTGGCGTCCTGGAACTCGGCCATCGCCGCTCACGCTTACCACGGACGCAGCGACGAGTGCATCAAACTCCTGGATCAAATGCGAGGAGAAGGAGTCCTGTACGAGAAGGTAACTTTCCTCACAGCTCTCAACTCGTGCACTGATCCAGCTTCGCTGCAAGATGGAGTTTTGATGCACGAGAAGATCGTCCAGTGTGGATACGAGGCGGACACGGTGGTGGCGTCGGCGGTGATCAACATGTACGGGAGGTGTGGAGGTCTGGACAGAGCGAGGGAGATCTTCGCCAGAGTGAAAACTTTCGACGTGATCCTCTGGACCGGGATGCTCACAGTCTACTGCCAGCTCGGCCGGACCAAGCAAGTGATGGAACACTTTCGATCCATGCTCCACGAAGGATTGAAGCCAACGGGAGTGACTCTCGTGAACTTGATCACCTGCGTCGCGGATTCCGGACTGGAACTCTTCCAAGATGGAGTGTGGATCAGCTCTCTGGCCTGGGAGAGTGGACTGGAATCCGAGACGATGGTTGCAAACTCTCTCATCGAGATGTTCTCGGAGTTCCGGAGCTTGAGCCAGGCGAGAGCCATCTTCGACAGGAATCCCGAGAAGAGCGTTGCGCTCCACACCACGATGCTAGCGGCGTACGTGAAGGGAGAGCGCGGCAAAGAAGCCGGTGTTCTTCGCGAGCACGCTCAAGCAGCCATGGAGCTCTTCCAGACGATGCAAGCACAGGGGCAGAGACCGGGCCTTCCAACTTTCGTCATGGCAGTGGACGCCGCGGGGATCTTAGCAGCGCTCTCGTCGGGAAGAACTCTCCACAGCTCCATTGTGGAGTGTGGATTCCTCTCCGACGCTCACGTCGCTACCGCGCTCATCGACATGTATGGGAAGTGTGGAGACTTATCGTCCGCCGAGAAGATCTTCCAGTTCTTCCTCGAGTCCTCGCGGGCAGACATGGTGCTGTGGACGTCGATGATGGGAGCTTACGTCCAGCTCGATCGGTGCGAGCGAGCGCTCACTCTCTTCGCGAGGATGCTGCTTGAGGGGCTGGAGCCGAGCAGCGTGACTCTCGTCACGGCCATGAGTGCGTGTGGTGGGCTGGCGGATCCATCCTCGAGCAAGCGCGTCCATGAGCGGGCCAGGGAGCTCGGGCTAGAGTCCGAGACGTGCGTCGCGAACGGGCTCGTGGACATGTACGGCAAGGCCGGCGACGTGGACACCGCGCGGTATATCTTTGACCGTGCGTTGCGCCGCAACGTCACGACGTGGAACGCCATGGCGGGGGCTTACCGGCAGTGTGGCGTGACGCGCGGTGTACTGTGGCTCGTACGGACCATGCAGCGCGACGGGTACCGCCCGGATTCGGTCACCTTTGTGAGCCTTCTATCGGTTTGCGGCCACTCGGGGCTCTTGGAGGAGGCGCGCTACAACTTCGTGGCGATGCGCCGCGAGTTTGGGATCGATCCATCACCCAAGCACTACTCCTGCGTCATCGATCTGCTGGCGCGTGCTGGAGAGCTCCAGCAGGCCGAGGATTTCATTGCCAGGATCTCGGTTTCTTCCCCGGCATCCTCCCCGATGTGGATGGCGCTGCTGGGCGCTTGCCGGAGCCTGGGCGATTCCTCTTCCCGGGCGAGGCGCGCGGCCAGGAACGCGATGGATGTGGAGAAGATGGAGCCACGGTCCCAGCACGATCCATCGGCCGCCCACGTCGCGCTGGCAAACATCTGTGCCGCGAGTGGGAATTGGGACGAGGCGCTGAGCATCCGCAAGGCGATGGCGGAGAAGGGATTGAGGAAAGAGCCCGGGAGGAGCTTGATCGCGGTGAAGAACCGGCTGCACGAATTCGTGGCAGGCGATCGCGATCATCCGCGGCGCGAGGAGATATATGCCGAGCTCCGGAGACTGGAGAGGGCGATGGTGGATCGAGGATACGTCGTGGACACGGGAATGGTGACACACAATGTGGGCGAGGCAGACAAGAGGGATCTACTGGGCTGCCATAGCGAGAAGCTCGCAGTGGCATTTGGGGTGCTCAGCACGCCGCCGGGATCGAGCTTGCGGATCATCAAGAACCTGCGCGCCTGTGGCGATTGTCACACCGCAATCAAGCTCATTTCGGCGATCGAGGGGCGGGAGATCGTGGTCAGGGATTCCAATCGTTTCCACCACTTTAGAAATGGGAGCTGTTCTTGCGGAGACTACTGGTAAAGAGATAAGGTTTCAAATTTGAAAATATGGCGCGCAAAGATTAGGTCATTAGGAACCCGATTAGCAATTATTAATTTTGTCTTTATCACAGCCGTTCGTGACGGATCGATCTGAGCTGTTGGTCAGAAATTCACTCTAAGCTAGGGTTTTTGGGCATATCTACGTATATTTGTTCTTCATCCAAGAGCGCGAGCGCCTGGCGTGATGGCGTTTCCCTACTTGGAATCCGTTGTCGGTGAGTGTCTCGCCTCGATTTCGCCACGAAATATCGTTGTTCTTGGCCAGGGTTCATGATCTTCATGTATTTCGTGGAGAGTTACTTGCATCTCCGCCAATACAGGGCTCTCAAGCTCCCCACGCTGCCTCCCACGCTCGAAGGCGTCGTCAGCCAGGAGAAATTTGAGAAGTCGCGCGCTTACACTATTGAAAAGAGGTTTTTTTTAAAAAAGTTTCAAAGCGCTCTTCTTACTTCTCACTCTCAATCTCTTTTGATGTTTCAATGCAGCCGCTTTCAGTTCATACACTCGGTCTGGACAATCGTTGAGGAGTGCTGTATGCTGCTGCTGAAAATTTTGCCGTGGATTTGGATGGTATAGTGGTCTTTCATGTTAGTTTTTGACGATCATTAGCTCTTGGTGCGCTCAGAAATCCGGAGACTTGGCAGTAAGGCTGGGCTTTGATCCTCAAAACGAGATCGCACAAACATTGGCTTTTCTCGTCCTGACAACTATATGGTCTCAAGTAAGATAAAAAAGCTTGTAGATTGTTAAAACATCATTGTGTGCTTTATTCTTCAGATAACGGAGCTTCCTTTCGCCTTGTATTCCACCTTTGTGATTGAAGAGCGTCATGGATTTAATAAAGTTTGCCGCCTTTCTTTTGTTTCCGCTGTGCCTTCTTCTAACCTTGAGCTTTTTTGGACCAGCAAACGATATGGCTCTTCTTTAAAGACATTCTAACGGGCCTACTTCTTATGGTGGTGCTTTCCCCGCCAATTGTCTCAGCTGTAATCATCATCGTCCAGGTATGGTGAAGAGTTTCCTCTGTTTATATATATGTATATATATATATGAATGATGAGTGCAGAAAAGTGGCCCATATCTTGCGATTTATCTGTGGGGGTTCATTGTTGTCCTCGGGCTTCTTATGTTGATACTGTATCCACTCGTGATCCAACCATTGTTCAATAAGTTTACACCCGTAAGCTCACGCACATAGTGTAATCTCTTGAAACTGACATCGTAACTGTTGCAGCTCCCGGAAGGATCTTTGCGAAAGCAAATTGAGGATCTGGCTGCCTCTCTGAAATTTCCTTTGAAGAAGCTGTTTGTGGTAGATGGCTCTACCCGAAGCAGTCATAGCAACGTAAGTAACTGTTTGTGGCTGTTGGTTACTCATTTTTTACTCTTTTGCAGGCATACATGTACGGTTTTTTCAAAAGCAAGCGCATTGTGCTATACGATACACTAGTTCAGCAGGTACGCTATTTTGCTTTTCTCGTTTCATTCGATACGATGCTGTTTACAGTGCACAAACGAGGACGAGGTAGTGGCCGTGATAGCGCACGAACTGGGGCACTGGAAGCTTAATCACACGACATATTCGTTCATAGCGGGACAGGTTTTGTATCACACGTACATGGCGCGTTTGCTGACGCTTTCTTTTTGCTTGCTGCTCTGTCCAGTTTCTTACTCTACTCCAGTGCGTCGGATACACGTTCGTCCGCAACTCCAAGGATTTGTTCCACAGCTTTGGCTTTACCACTCAGCCGGTACTTATCGGCTTGCAGCTGTTCCAGGTATTTCTCTTACGCCTTTTCTTAAGAAGTGGACCATAGCTAATATTATCAATGCAATGCAGCACACGTTGACGCCACTGCTTCACGTTGCTGGCTTTGTGATGAACCTTGTGAGTCGCGCGTTTGAGTTCCAGGTAAGAAAACTCGCGAGATCGCTGGGGAGTGTTTTGAGCTTTGCTCTCTACAGGCTGATAATTTTGCGGGTGAGCTGGGCTACGCACTCCCGCTCCGTGGCGGGCTTATCAAGCTCCAGGAGGAGAACCTGTCCGCCATGAACACCGATCCCTGGTACTCCACTTACCACTACTCCCATCCTCCGCTGGTGGAACGGCTGGCGGCGCTGGACAAATTCCAGAAGAAGACCGAGTGAGCGAAAAGAAGCGAGATCCTTGTATGTAAATTTCCTCTCGATTTTGGTTTCAAACCACCCCAAACCGGACCACATTATCAAACTTAAAGCTTGTGCGAAATTGTGAGCTTAGATTAGACTAAGGTCATTATTCTACAGGCAAGAAAATACTATATCATCGCCCTCGAGTTATTTGTACATGCCTTCGAGTGGAAAAATTTAATAATCTCTCTTCTTTTTTCTTCACACCTGGTCAGAGTAGTGGTGATGGCGGCCATTGCTGTGGCCATTGCTTTGGTCACGCCGTGGTATGCCATGGTAGCTCTTGGCCCGGAAGAACGTCTGGTACGATGGAGCGCTCACTCGCGGGATGAGCGGGCAGCTCGCGGCGCGGAAGAAGCTAATCGTGTTACACTTTGATCGGCAGCACTTTCTCCACAAGCTGTGGATCGCTTTTACCACAGCGTCCACCACCAGGCTGAGCGACGCCACTCCCACGCAAAAGAGCCACTGGCAGGGGCTCAGGGGCGTGGTGCTCGCCACGGAGCCCAGCCACTCGATCAAAACCACCTGGAACACAACCGTGGCCGTCACGATCGCGAGGAAAAACCGGTTGTCCAGGTGCCGGAACACGTTGATCTTGTCCATCTCTCTCGAGTTGAACTCGTTAAAAACCTGGCGTGGATCGGCATCTAGTGAGCAAACGAAACCCGAGCACGAGCGGCGGGGGCACTAACCTGGAAGAAGACGAAGGTGTTGAAAATGATCGTGTTGAGCACCAGCTTTTCGTGGTCGCCCGCGTCAACGAGGCCGAAGATCTCCAGCCCCCGGTACTGAAGTACAATGAGCACGACAAGCTGGAACACAGACTGTGCAAGCACGTTCCTGGCCATCACCGGACTGATGAAATTCTCCTTTCTCCGCACTGGTGGCCTCTTCATTAATCCCGCATGTGGGGATTCCGTAGCAAGCGCCAGGGCCCCGAGAGTGTCCATTATCAGATTCACCCACAACAGCTGGATCACAGTGAGGGGAACATCTCCTGCGCCGAGGAAAGCGTTAGGAAACGCATTAAAAACGTTATACGGAGAATCGTCGCAAAAGGAACAGGAAGAAAAAAGAAGTACCTGTGGAGCAGGCGGACCAAAAGTTGAGGGCGAGCGCAACCAGATTCACAGTCGCTTGGAACTGAACAAACTTTTGAATATTGGTGTAGACAGACCGACCCCAGAGCGCAACATTGACTATGGACGCAAAGTTGTCGTCGAGGATTATGATGTCTGAGCTCTCCTTAGCAACCTGTAACAAGGGAAGACGCAATTAACAATGCTTCAATCATCAGGACGAAATCATGAAAGCAAAACATGAACTACCCAGCAGAATTAAGAAGAATAATATTTAATCGGGGCTACCAACCTCGGTTCCAGCTATTCCCATGGAAATCCCAATGTCTGCTTCACGGAGAGCAGGGGCATCGTTTGTTCCATCTCCTGTTACTCCAACAACTTCCCCCATGGCTTGCAGTTCCTTGACAAGCCTGTGCTTGTCGGAGGGGCTCGATCTTGCTAATATCTGATTGAAAAAGGCAGGTAAGTACGAGTGCTCAAACAGAGCATCAAAAACTTACCTGCATCTTTGGGATTCTTCGCCGCATTTCTTCGCCAGTCCAGCTTCTGAAAACGGGCCCTTCGACAGCTTCACCGTCCGTAAGAATCCCACACTCGCGAGCAATCGCCATAGCTGTGTATAAGTTATCACCGGTCACCATTCTTACTCGGATACCAGCGGACATGCACATCCTTACAGCTTCCTCCACCCCGGGCCTCACCGGATCCTTGATTCCAACAATCCCGGCACAGACAAAACCTTGCTGGGGAAGCGCTTCCTCCCCCTGCGGAGCGATCTCCAAGTCTCTGTAAGCTAAACAGAGCGTTCGCAGACCTTCATCTGCAAACCTTCTGATGATTCCTCTCAGCTCCCAGTTTTTGCTGTCATCGAGAGCGACTTTCCTGCCTTGAGAGTCGAGGTACCAGTCACACATTCCCATAACTATCTCCGAGGCCCCCTTCCAATGCACACGGTACGAGGGAGCCGATTGCTCACCACCACCGTTAACGGCTATCAGAACTCCCATCATCTTCTTCACCGAGTTGAACGGCTCCACGCGAATGACCCTGGATCTGGATCGGACCTCGGACACCACTCCTTGCCAATTGCCCGCCAAGTCCAATCCAAACTGGAGCAGCGCCGTCTCGGTGGGAGTTCCAATCACTTCCACCGTCTTGGTCTTCGGATCATATGCCTCGCCAGGGCATACCACCACCTCTCCACTCGTGTTCTGGAAGATCCCTTCCAGGACCATCTCTCGAGAAGATCTTGACACCACCGGTACCCGCTCTGTTCTTCCCGCGACCAGTAACTCGTCCCCGATCCACGACTTGATTACAGTCATCTGATTCGTCGTGAGCGTCCCCGTCTTGTCGCACAGTATACACGTCGCGGACCCCATCGTCTCGCACGCCGCCAGGTGCCTCACGAGTGCCTTCTCGCTCATCATCTTCATCATCGCGAATGCCAGGGACAGCGTCACCGCCAGAGGAAGCCCCTCGGGCACCGCCACCACCACGATCGTCACGGCCGTGGACAAGAACTGGACGCCCTTCATCACGTCGTGCATCGACCAAGCGCCTCTCCTCGAAGTCACGTACTTGGTCACCAGGATCACAAAGATGGCCACTGCCGATCCAAGACCAATCTTCCCGATGAGCGTCGCCAGATCCTGGAGCTTGTGCTGGAGAGGAGTCTCGGACTGCCCGGAATCCTCCCCGCTGAGAATCGACATACTGTGCCCCCATTCGGTGTTCATTCCCACGCCAGTGACGATCATCACCCCCGATCCATCGCCAATCTTGGTGCCCGAGATGAGGAATGGCTGCTCGGGCGATTTTGCTCGCATCTCACTCTCGCCTGTCATGCACGATTCATCCACCAGCAGCGACTGGCCGTAGAGCAGCAAGCCATCCGCCGGGATCTGATCGCCAATGCCGAGATGGACAATGTCACCGACCACCAGCTCTGACGCTAGGATCCTCCGACGCTTGGCGGACCGTGTGACCTGTATGTAGACCTTTCCCTTCTCCTTGTCGAGAGCCCGGAACTGGACAGCCTGCTGGTAATCGCTGCTAGCCGAGACCGTGATCACCAGCACGACGGAGACGAGGATCCCAGCTCCATCGCACCAGCCGTCGCGGAATCCCTTCGTCGCGATGCCCACCGCAATGGAGACGAGCGCGCAGACCACCAGGATGAGGAGCGTCAGATCCTGTGAGGCGTCGAGAATGTAGGAGAGGACGCTCCTCTGCGGCGATTCCTTGTAGGTGTTGGATCCAAACGCTCGCCGCCGCGCATCGAGCTCCGAGGGATCGATGCCATGCTCGATGCCGTGGACGTGGAGCTTGCCCGCGATTCCGAGCACGCCGCCGTGATCGCGGAGGAGGCGCGCGTCGGATTGCTGCACGATGGATGACAGCGTCGAAATATCGATCGCGAAGGCCTCGTCGTCGAGCAGCGGCCCTGCGAAATACCGCCAAGAACCAGGAAATCACGACAGCGATTCAGGATTTCCTCACGATCTCGATGCGAAGAACACGAATCCATACCTCGCGACACGATCAGCGCCTCCATTTCTATCGAGCTGCGCCTGCGTCGAGCGGCAAAATACCCCTCACCTCGTAGGGTTTTGGCGCACAACCACGATCAATGCTAAGCGCGCGCCAATCCCACGCTCTTGGCGAGGATTCTCGAAGATCATCGCGATGAGAGCCACAGGGAGGACGAAAAGAATCGATTGATGATATCCTCTCTCTCTCTCTCTCTCTCTCTCTTTTCTTCTCTTTCTTTTCTTCCCTTCCCTTCCCTTCCTAGGCTAATCCCTTCTAATTTTTACAATACACATGACTGCCAGTGTTAAGGGCTGGGCCATGGCGCTAAGATTAGGGCAGGCGTACGGACGGGACAGGATCCCGGCTTCCGCGCAGCTGCGGGGTGGAGAATATTCGCACATGCCAGGTCGATTTGAAATTTGAATTTAACCTAGAATTTAGGGCGGAGTCAGACTCGCGGGGAGATTTTTCAGGGATGGAAGCTTCACGGAAAGGCTGGGCTGTCTCTAGCACTGTGGGGCTTTCCTGTTGAAATCGGTGAAGTATTGCTACAATCCTGGATCTAGATCTGGATTGGCTGGTTTCGAGCGAATGGGACGAAATTCTTCCTGTTGCATCGATCACCACACCGAGGTCTTTTCGCTTTTGATTCGATTCGATGGGGATAATCAAGCGGCAAACTTTGCATTCCATTGACAAGCTTGCTTGCTTTCGTCCCTGGAAATCAAAGTTTCCTGGAAACGGTGAGGAAACAAAACTTAGCTCCCTTTCTCTTGGTGAAGCTCTCCTTTTTTTCTTCTTCTTCTTCTTCCACTCTCGCCAACTTCGCAGAGAGAGTGGAGTTTCATGCGCTCTGCGGCAGTGGCTGGTAGCCATCGTTGTCCTCTTCGTCGTTGTCGCTGGAATGCGAGGAGAAGCACGACGATTCTGCGGGGACTGGAATGAGCTTGCCGAGCATTGCCAGTGGCACGCCGATGGCCCCGAGCAGCACGCTGATCCCCCACTGCTTTGCATTTAGCGGGGTGGTGTCGGCCAGCTTGCCCAGGAACTCCACCAGAATGGTCTGGAAAACCACCGTGAAGAGGATCACCAGGAGGAAAGTTATGTTGTTGAAGGTGTGCTTGAAAACGTTGAGCTTCTCCATGTCTCTCGCATTCAGCTCGTTGAATACCTGTAGCAGCGGCGACAGTGAGAAAAACAAGAGAGAAAGCAGTAGTGTTTACCTGGCAGAACACGAAAACATTGAAGATGAGGGTGTTGAGCGTCAAGGTGTCGTAGCCGAGAATGTCTTTTCCCTTGTACAGGAGAACATTAAGAACGACGAGCTGATAAACGACCTGGACTGCTATGTTCCTCCACATGACGGTGCTTATAAAGGATCCTTTACGTCCAACGGGTGTTCTCTTCATCAGATCATCCGTCGGTGGCTCGGTTGCCAGAGCAAGAGCACCCAACGTGTCCATGATCAGATTCACCCACAGCAGCTGCACAGCAGTGAGCGGAGCCGTCCCTGATCAACGACAAGAGAAGAAAAAGTCACATATGAGACCCAAGAACTTAAAGAGTAAAGAATCTTACCTGTGATGCAAGCAGATGTAAAATTCAACACGAGGGCCACAAGGTTCACTGTAAGCTGGAACTGCACAAACTTTTGGATGTTTGTGTAGACCGAGCGGCCCCATTTTGCTACCACCACTATAGTGTTGAACTTGTCGTCTAGAATAACTATATCAGCGCTCTCCTTTGCCACCTGTTGCATAAAAAAAAAATTCCGGCCGCTCAGAACGATTAAAGAAGATCAAGATGAAAAGTAGTACCTCCGTTCCAGAAATTCCCATGGCTAAGCCAACGTCTGCTTCATGTAAAGCCGGAGCGTCGTTGGTTCCATCGCCAGTTACGGAAACCACTTCATCCAGAGCTCGCAATTCTCTTACGAGAGTGTGTTTGTCAGTTGGAGAGGATCTTGCCATAACCTTCGAGACGAAACCGAGATAAATAATTAGAAAGCTCAATAAAAACGTCGGCTTGCTTGCTTACCTGCAAGCTGGGAATCAACTTTCTCATCTCTTCGGTGCTGAGGCGACGAAAGTCGGGCCCTTCAATCGCTTCACCGTCTGTGAGGATGCCACACTCTCGAGCAATGGCAACCGCGGTGTTGATGTTGTCACCCGTTACCATTCGAACCTTGATACCAGCTGCGAAGCAAAGCTGGACGGCGTCCCTCACTCCTGGCCTTACCGGATCCTTGATACCGACGATTCCAATGCAGGTGAAGCCATTATCGGGAAGTTTATCTTCAGCAGGCTCGCTCTCCAGTTCTCGGAACCCCATGCACAGCGTCCTCAGAGCCTCGTCGGCGAAAGTCGTGATAATTCCCTTGAGCTCGCGGTATTTCTTCTCGTCTATGGGACAAACGTTGCCTTCGGTGTCGAGGTACTTGTCACACATGCCCAGGACAATCTCCGAAGCACCTTTCCAGTGAGCACGGATGGTCCCATGGCCGTCCTTTACCAGCACCCCCATTCTTTTCTTCGCCGAGTTGAACGGCTCAACCTTGAGAATGCTCGACTGACTTCTCACCTTCTTGAAGTTACCTCCCAGGCTGACACCAAACGATAGAACCGCAGTCTCGGTCGGTGTTCCTATCAGGTCCGGCTTGCCTCCCTCTCCATCGCAGACGTCTCCACTTGTGTTCTGAAAGCAATTCTCAAGCACCAGCTCGTGAAGTTCAGGACAGACTTCCGGCCTTGACTCGCTCCAAACTCTTCCACCAATCCATGACTTCACCACAGTCATGTGGTTTGTCGTTAAAGTTCCGGTCTTGTCGCTGCATATGCAAGTCGCCGATCCCATCGTTTCGCAAGCGGACAGATGCCTCACCAGGGCCTTGTCCTTCATCATCTTCTTCATCGCATACGCCAGAGTAAGCGTCACCGCAAGCGGGAGGCCTTCGGGCACAGCAACGACGATGATAGTCACGGCGATGGCGAAGAAGTTGACGATCTCGAGAGCGTCATGAGTAACCAGCTGGAACCTCTTCTTGATCAAAAACCTCAGGAGCAAGACGAGGAAAGTCACGACCGCAAAGCCGAGGCCGATTTTCCCGATCAAAGTCGCCACTCCATTGAGCCTTACTTGTAAAGGAGTCTCGTCGTCACCACCTTCACCCAGCACAGCCATCAGGTGCCCCCACTCCGTGTTCATTCCAACACCCGTGACGAGCATCAGTGCCGAGCCATCCTGAACTTTCGTCCCCGAAAGCAAAAACGGTTTATCCTTCCCGACATGCTGTGGTTCAGACTCCCCGGTCATGGACGACTCGTCGATCACCAGCGAGTACCCGGAGATAAACAGCCCGTCCGCTGGAACTTGATCGCCGATGGAAAGATGCACCACGTCTCCAACAACAAGATCGAAAATGGAAACCTTCTGCCGCCTGTGGTTCCTTGTCACCTGTATAAGTATGTTCTTCTTCTCTTTGTCGAGATCCCTGAACTGGAGAGACTGCTGGTAGTCGCTTGCGGCAGTGACGAAAACCACGAGAATAATGCTGAGCGCAATACCGGTTCCATCGTACCACCCTTCCTTCCAGCCTTCCGTGAGCACACCGATCACCAGCGAGAGGATAGCGCAAAAGCCGAGAATTGCCAGCGTCAAGTCGTGCATGGCCTCCCACACGAACACCCAGAATCCTTTCGGCGGCTTCTCCTCGTACACGTTGGACCCGAAAGCTTCCTTCCTCTTGTCGACCTCGTCTTTGGAAACTCCATCGTCGAGGCTCACCAGTAGCTTCTGGGCCACTCCGTGAATCCCTCCCATAGATTTTAGCGTGGACTCTTGAGCGCTCCTGTCACCCAGTGACGATAGTTGCTTTGGAGAAACTTGGAACCCGTGCTGCTTTGCTTTCTCGTCCTCGACAGTGGTAACATCGGGAGCGGAGATCCCAGCTGGAAAAGTTTAGAGCGATTGTCAGTCGCCACCAAGCTGGAATGAAAATCCACTCGAGAAAGCTATAACGCATCCAAAAAGAGCCAGGCACTCATAACTTCCACACAAAAGAGACGAGATCATCCAAAAGAAAACTTGGAAAAGCCAGGAAAAAGCTTTCACATGGAAAACACGCACGAGAGATCATCCAGAGAGCCATGGAGAAAAATCCGACAAGCAAGGAACTCACCATCGATGAATCGAAACGCGGCCCTCACGACTTGCCCGGTCGTCTTAAACTTCCGCCTCTGCAAAGAGAAGAAGAGGAACAATTAAGTGAGAACATCTCTAGGAGGAGCTATGGCCAAAATCTCTTACCTTCTCGTCGGCGTCGCGCCTCTTCTTCACATTGGCAGTGTAGCGAAAGCGCCGCGAGGCATTGAGCACAAGCGTGGCCTTTCTCCACGACTCGAGCACTTCCAATGGAGTGTCCTTGTGCGGGATCTCGAAGGTCTTCTTGGATCCGCCCCTGCCTAGATCGGAGCCACGCCTGGATTCCATTCCTTCCTCCCCTTACCACACGGGCATTTGCGATATTTTGACCGACCGATCGATCGATCTACAGCAGCTAGACGACGACGACGAAGCAGAGGAAACGATCAAGAACCCTAACCAGACCTTATCCGATCGAACTGCTGCGCGAGATCGCTCGAGATTTCTCGCGGCTGTCGGGAAATCGGAGCGGCGCTGGGGAGGAGAGGCGCGCAACCGGACAAATGCGCTGTGGACGCGCCTGCGCGTTCTGTTGCTGCTGCTGCGATTGTCAGCGCAATGGTGGCGATTTGCCGATCGATCGCGTCGCGCTCTTCCTTTTGTCTGCGCTGCGCGATCAGGAGCCCCAAGTCTTAAGAAGCTTCCTGGAGTACGGCCCTAGACCCCGCGTACGACCATCGTACCCTTCGTGCCCTTCACGCGTCACGACGCGGCCAGGCAAAATAGACGAATTCTTACAAGAAACTAACCATTGGCCAATCAGACAAAGCTCTTCTGTTGACATTGGTACGGACATGCTAATATAAGTTCCAAGCATTTTGGACAAATATCTCCATAGCTTTCTAAGCTTTGTAGCTTTGGGAGGCTATAAAAAATCTCTTGTTATTACGAATTCTCTTTTGACATTGAAAATAAGTTCCAAGCATTTTAGACAAACACGAACTCTATCTCCATCCAAATTCTCAAGAAGAATTCTATAGCTTTTCTAAGCTTTGTAGCTTTGGGGGGCCATCAAAAATCTCTTGTTATTGCTTGTGACAATCGCGATGGCCTTTCTTCCATCCAACTCGGGAGTTTTCGAGGTCGTAAACCACCAGCTTGTCTTTGAGGACGATTTCTACACACGAGAGTTTCATGGGAAGAAAAAAGATGCTTCTGTGATTTACCTCCCAAGACAGTGAGATCGCCAGACGATTGCCATACGTAGCAGTAGACGTGAATTTTCTGTTCGATTGTCAAAGTCATGAGCGCTTTCTTTGCTGTTGAAAATCGCTAATTTATTTTTTTTTCGTTTTCACGTACCTGGTTTGTGGTGACAGATGCCAAGTAGTTTTCAGGTGTCAAGCTCATGGACGCTCCACCTTGGAAGAAAAGAGTGATGTTTGGAAAAGACGAACCGAGGCTGGAACAAAGTAAGAAAAAACCGATTTTGTTTTTTCAAGTACCTGGTTCTAACATGGAAGCACCGAGTTTCGTTGATGTCAGACGCTACTGTAGCGCTGGTTAAGTTTAAGATCTGCTTTTAAAAAATAAAACACTTTTGCGAAGAAAAAACATAGAAAACAGGAGCTTACGGTCTGGAAAAGAAGATTATTTGCTGCAGTCGAAAGTGTCGCAAATGTTGTGCCGCTGTCAAAAATGACTCCGTGAGTCCCGCTACTGTTCCTGGTGTCTAAAAAATCCTTTGTGTCGATCGGGAGGATCTTAAAGTTGACAGAAATGCCGAGCAGAATCACGCTGTAATAGCCTCTGATTTCCAAAATCACGAGCTTGTGTCAAGCAAGCAGAAAGGGAAAAAAGGAGACAAATTGAAAGCTCAAAACTTACGAGGTGTTCAGGAGAGGAGTGTAAACCATTCCTAGCTCTGGAGGAGATTCTCCAAGCGCAAGAACTCCACCACCATCTCTCTCTCCGCTTAAGCAATGCCAGAAAATTTTGGTGAGATTCCTCTGAGCTGCAATCTGGGACGGTGCGGCCAGCGGAAGCGGTCCAAATCCCATAACCCCATCACCTGGCCAGCTACCAGAGATATAATTCGCACACCTGAAGAACACCGCTTGCGAAAAGGCCTGGAGCTATCAAAAACGTACCCGAGAAAAATCTTGGAAGTTGTATCACCCCTGCCTTGATCTCGCGAAACCAAGCTGATATTATCCCTCACAAACGCACCTGTGGAGGACGAGTTGTCTCCATAGCCAATCTCGAAAGAGCAAACGCTGTTCACGCTTTTATTCTGGCACTGGTGTGGATCACAAAGAGGGTCCGAGCATCTCGACCAAGCAAGAGTGGACGAAGAATTCGTGTCGAAAAGTGTTTGAGAGGGCTGGGGAGCAGAGAAAAAAAAATTTGTCAATAAGTTCAAAGTTTGACGATATCTTACGCTGGAATCATCTTCCGGATTCAAGCAGGACTGACAAGGCTTACACTTGACCCAGAAGATGTTGCTCCCCGTGTCCACTATAACTTTCAGCTTCTGGAATGGACTTCCCAGTTCCACTTCCGTGTAGTAAAGTCTGCACGAAGAAACACGGTACAAGCTCAAACCCCAAGAAAAAACGAAAAGAAAGCTTTTTACCCAAATTCCGAATAGCCTCCTTCCAGTCCAAACTCGACTCTAGCAAGAGACCTCCCTCGTCTCATATTCTGCTCGACAAGCCTTTTAAAATGGTCCTCGCTAATCCCTCTGGAAGCTGGATTGTGATGCTCGAAAAATCTGTGTTTGAGCTGGAAAACCGCTGCTCCATCTACGCGCAACAGCTGAAGAACCGCGAGAGAAAGCAACACAACTGCGAAATCCATCGAACGAAAACAAGAGTGAGGAGATCGCTTACCTGAGAAAATGCCTTAAAGTTGAGGTTGTATCTCTTACGAACCAAGTCAGACAGACTCGGTCTAGCGAAGATGATTTCTTCAAGCCTGTTTCATAGCCATCTAGTAGAGGAAGTTAGTCGCAAACTCGACAAAAGCAGTGAAAAAGAAAAGGAAAGCTATGATTAAAAGAACTGCTTTACAAAACTGATATCGCTAGCTTCGCCGCAGGAAAAAGAATTGTTAGAAGACCACTTTCAGTTGTCCGAGTCGAAGAGCATGGGGTCGTAGCCCATAATGTCCTGGAGGTAAGCTATGTCTGTCAAGGACGACGATCTCTTTGGGATGTCTTCCAGGGAGGCCGTGTCCATGCCAACCTCCGGAAGCTCCCCCAGGTTCCAAAGTTCTTGGATGTTTTCGTGCTCTCCAGCAGTGACAGCAACTGTGGTGGTAGCGGCAACCGGTGAGGACGAAGATGGTGGCGGTGGCGGCGGCGGCGGTGGTGTGGACGACGAAGATGAATGCAGCGATGATGATTCTGCTGCTGCCACCGTCATGCTGCTTCCCAGCGACATTCTGAGCAATCGCCTGTCAGTGTCGAGGCTCGACGGCGATGGCTCTTGCTGGCTCGTCGTTGTTGCTAGCTGCAGCGGAGGAGATGCGAGTGGCTCGGACTTCACTGGGCAAGCGACTCCAAATCTCGGAGTCGTCCACTGGCTCGGAGAAGTGAGCGAAGCAGCCGGTCTCAAGAGGTTGAAACCGGTAGTGGAGGGCCTCGACGGCGAGAGCGTGAGGCGGGAGGCACTCATTTCTTCGAGCCGAGACGCGAGAGACGGTGGAGTGGAATGGATCCCCGAGCTCGGGAGCGTGAGTGACGCTGCTACTGCCGCTGCTGATTGTCCGGGATTCATCGCGAAGATAAGCGGTCTGGCGGAGAGCCCCGATCTCCAGAAGCTGTTGCTTTGCGCGTTCTGGCATGAGTGCTCGCCGATGTAAGTCACCTGGTACATGGATGGCTCGTCTTCGCACTTCTGGACGTACTTGGTCGCTTGGCAGCCAAGTTCTTTTTGGTGAGTGCAACGGTAGTAGCTCCTGGAAGAGAGAGAATATAAATCACACGTTAGAAGGAAATTCTCGATTCTCGAGTGAGACGAGCTAGCGCTGCCTGAACAACCCCCTGAGAGAACTATCGCAAGAAAACTGACATGCAAAGACTGTATCAAAGGAAACGATGAGACATCACAATCGATAGCTATCGAAGTGAAGATACGCAAAATCTCAAAGCTTGGAATCCAAAGAAACCGTCAGTACGAATCAAGAAGAAAATCCTCCCAGGACAGTGAGAAATCATCCAAGAAAACGAGGTCTCTCCACCGCATCGCGAGAGCTACACGGCATTGAGCGAGCTACTTACTGGCGCTAGATCGAGATCGAGGATCATACCTGGGAAACTTGGAATTGAGGATATCCTTTTGCCCGTACTTGCGCCAGGTGAATCCATCGTCGGCCGGAGCTTCGCTCCCATGCTCGTTGCTGTTGGCGCGCTGCTTCACCACGCGCTTGGGCAAGCACTTCCTGGTAGAGGAGAAATGGAGAAATAAGAGCCCTAAACCACAAAAAAAAACCCGGCTCACCTCTTCCTCCCAATCCCAGAAGCTGGGAATTCGTCCATGGCGCCGCCGCCTTCCGCCGCTCCATCCAGCGCCGCCGTGCACGGTGGATTGTTTGGCGATCCTTCCGGTGTGGTGGAAGGCGTCAATGCCGGGCTACTGCTGCTCGTCGTGTGAGGGCTCGAGAGCGCTAGATTTGGGGGCGAGTGTGGCGGCGTTGAAGCTCGGATTGGGCTGCAAGTCATTGGCGAGGACGACGCGGTGGAGCTGCTGGGCACTGTGGGCAGCTCTAACGAGGGCCGGATGAGAAGAGAAGGAGCTGTAGTGGGGATCGTGATCGCCGCCGCGGCGGCGGCGGCTGTAATTGCTTGCGTGGGATCGCCCCGGTTGAGCTGCGCGATGACGTTGGCGAAGGTGGAGATGATCGCGGTGGCGTCGAAGATGAGCGTGGGGTAGAATGCTGGGGATTGGATCAAGGAATGGAGCTTCTGCTCGAATTGGCGGACTTGCGCACACCCTTTGCTCACCTCCGATTTGAGAAGCTGCTGGTAGCTCGAGGACGAGCTCGATTGCTCTTGTTTTTGCTGCTGATCCATCTCTCAGTCTCTCATCGGTCGACCAGTGATCGACTTCTCTCTCTTCTAGCAGAGGCGGAATCACATTCCCACCAAGAACAAGCCAAGAAAACCTCTCCTTTGTCTGGTATCTCCAGCGGACTAGCTCGGATTCATCTTCCTCGCATCCTGGAAACACGGCATTCTTTGTCTTTCACGATCATCAAAATCCCTCTTTTATGAGCTCTATGCTTGTCTGTCGATAAATCTCGATCGATCACTCCTTTATCTCACAGATCGTTGGAAATTGGAATCCATTCCATGCATCTATACGCGCTCAAGCGAAGAATTTACAGAGCTTGGAACGTTGACAAGAAGGAAAAAGGACTCCGCGGCCGTCTGAAATCCACTCTTTGGGGTTTTCCAGTCCACAGTCAACACATTTGAAAATTCCAGAAGAATCTGTGTGCTTAATCTCTGCAGCCACCGGGTGTTTGACCAAGTTTGACCCATGTACCCCGCGCACGAGCTCTTGCCCCGGTCAAACGATTTTCCTTGACCGCCCTCTTTGACCCGCGGAGCTCCTGACCAGAGTTGACTGAGCTTTTCCCAGCGGCGGCTTGACCGAGCCCAGATTTACGGCCCACGCCGCTCGACCGTCGGATGCGGGTGACCTGTTCAAATGGCGGATTAGAGCTAGAAATTCCGCGAGGAAAGTTCGTTGAAACGGTTGAAGGATTGTATCTTTCGGCATTAAAGTGGTCATGGATTCTTGTAATAAATTTTAGTGTGATTGTCTCCGAAAAGGGCGCAGGTGTCAAACCGTTAAAGCCCTAAACGAATATCCTAAATGGGGAAAAGATACTTTTAGGGTTCTCAACTATGGCGACCGCAGTGAGGCATCTGGTCCAGCTCCACGCCGACGTTCCCAAGGCCGCGAAGCTCTACTCCAATGCGCTCGGATTCACCGTCGCCGTCTGCACGGAGCGATGGGCGGAGCTCACCTGCGGCGATTTCAAGATCGCGATGATGCAAGCGCCGAGGTATGCGCGATGGGATTGTAGATCCTGTGCTAGAACTGATCCAAGCTAGCAGATCTTGTGTGCTGCAGTGATACAAAGCCGGCGAAGAACTACTCGTCTTTCATCTCCGTTAGCGTGCCCGACATCGATGACACTGTGGTCAAGCTTATTTCCATGGGCGCCGAGCTCGATGGTCCTATAAAATACCAGGCTCATGGAAAGGTGGAAATCTTTGCTTGCATTGAGAGACCTTGTCAATAACAATGGTTTTTGTTCCAGGTTGCAGCGCTTAGATGCCTGGATGGTCACATGATCGGGCTGTATGAATCCAGTTCTTGAAGATTTGATTTAAGATTGATTTGATGTATACATTCTTACGTTCTTCTTAGGCCTTGATAAACATCAAATGGAAACTATGGCTGATCCTTCATCGTCTTATCGATTGCTCACTGCCTCCATACGAAACTCCCAGCTCCACGAAGCCAAGCTCTTGTTTGATTCGCTCCAGTCGACCACGCTCGTTCTATGGACCGTCCTGATGGATGCGTATGCGAAGAAGGGGGACGTCTCTGCGGCTAAGAGAATGTTTGACGGGCTACCTTTGCGGGATCTGGTGTCGTGGACGTGCTTGCTTTCAGCATATGCCCGTAATGGGCATCTGCAGCAAGCAAGAGACTTGTTTCTTGAGATGCCAGAAAGGAATCTAGTCTCGTGGAACTCTTTGCTTTCGGCATATGCCGAAGGAGGGAACCTCAAAGATGCCGAGAGCATTTTTCATGAGATGCCCGAGCATAATGTGGTCTCGTGGACTTGCATACTCACAGTATATGCCCACAATGGGCATATTACACAAGTAGAGCGAATATTTCATTCTATGCCTGAGAGAAATTTGGTATCATGGAGCTCGATGCTGGCAGCGTACACGCTCCACAAGATACTTGACCATGCAATTCAAGTGTTTAACGAGATGCCAGAGAGGAATCTAGTGTCTTGGAATGCAATGCTTTCGGGATATGCCAGAGCCGGAGAAATTGCCCGGGCCAAGGATCTCTTCGACCAGGTTCCGGAACGGAATTGGGACACGTGGACGGTGATGCTCGACTGCTACATTCAGAGCGGAGATCTAACGGCCGCGGAGATATTCCACCGCAGAATGCCAGTTCGCCACCTTGCATCTCACACGTCGTTGGTGGCGGCTTTTGTGGACCATGGCCTGGTCTCTCTAGCGAAAACTGTGTTTGACCAAGCTCCACGGTTGGATCTCATCCTGTGGACGGCCATGATTGCTGGATTTGCTCAAACGGGACAGATCAGCGATGCAAAGAGAATGTTCAATGAGATTCCCGAGAGTGATCTAGTATCCTGGAGCTCAATGCTGGCACTATATTCCCAGAATGGTCGTTTGGAGGAGGCCCACAGCTTGTTTTCAAGGATGCCCGAGTGGAATCTGGTATCTTGGACAAGCTTACTAGCAGCATATTCCCAAGAAGGGCATCTACAGCAAGCGAAGCAAATCTTCTATCAGATGCCAGAGTGGCAAGTGGCCGCCTGGACGTGCATGTTCGTGGCATATGCCCAGAACGGGCATATTCGCCTTGCAAGGGACCTCTTCCATGCCATGCCAGAGATTGATGTCATATCATGGGCCGCGATGCTGGCATCCCAGTGTGACAGTGACAGCGAATCTTCCCGCGCCCTGGAGATATTCCATGAGATGCCAATGACAATACCACCAAACCACGCTTGCTTCTCGTCCGTACTCATGGCCAGCATTCACAAGGGCGATGTGTACGGAGCCCGCGGCTACTTTGTCTCCATGGCCCAGGATTACGGCCTTAATCCTCTCAAAGCCCACTATTGCTCCATGGTCGACGTCCTTGGCAGGGGCGGATACCTGGAATCTGCGGCGGAGCTGATCGACACGATGCCGTTCATGGCCGACGGCGTGGATTGGACGTGCTTCCTGGCGTCGTGTAGAAATCACAGCGACCTAAAACACGGTGGAGCCGCCGCTAAGTCGGCCATTGGCAAGGAGCCACGAAACTCCGCCGCGTACGTGCTGCTCGCAAACGCCTGTAACCCTAAATTCAAACGCGACGACCGTTGATTAGGTCAGGTGGTGTTTTGCCGTTAGATTCAACATAGACCGTTGATTAGGTCAGGGATCGTAGGGTTTGTTTTGCCGTTAGATTTCAAACATTCAACGTAGACCGTTGATCCGCACAATGTCGGACAATGAGAGGCCAACAAACTCCACCTACCCACTTTTCACAATTACGCGTGGTCGCTGACGTGGTGCCCACAGTCCACTACTTAAAGACGAAGCGATAGAAATTTTTTACTCCTCTCAAAGGAGGGGAGCGACGAGGAATCACACACGTAGTTACCTTATCTCGTCCGTACCACTGTCTAATATGATAGGTGTTGTTTGTTTGGTCAATCAAACAAGAGAGACCATATGGAAGTGTAGACTATTTCCTCTCAACCGCTTCCAAGTCCCATTCACGTGAACTGGCAAGCCCATCCCCCGCCAGATTTGTGACACGTATGCGCGCCAGCTGTCTCCTGGACCGGCCGGTCGTTATATAAATCCGCCGGCGAATAAAGTCGACGCGGACTACACCGTTGGATCGGCGTTGCCCTCCTTAACGGCCTCCAACGGCCCAAAACCAACAAAGGCGGACCACCTGGCCCAAAACTGACGGCCACGATTGTTGGTACGGAACGGCCCATCCGTCGTCCATTTTAAGCTATGGTAGTTGGGCCGAGCGAAGAACCCTAAAGCTCGCGAGAGCTGCGCGAGCTGCGAGAGAGTGGAGGGGGGAGGCGGGTGGGCGATCGACGAAACTGCCTGCATTTTGTGATTGGGTGATGGAATCGGCGGTGGATCGATCCATCGACAAGGTCAGGGGGCCGTGGAGCCCGGAGGAGGACGCCAATCTCCAGAAGCTCATCCAGAAGTATGGGGCGAGGAACTGGTCGCTCATCAGCAAGGGGGTTCCCGGGCGATCGGGCAAATCGTGCCGGCTGCGCTGGTGCAATCAGCTGAGCCCCCAGGTGGAGCACAAGCCCTTTTCTTGCGCCGAGGACGCGATCATCATCGAGGCGCACGCGCAGCACGGCAACAAGTGGGCGACGATCGCGCGGCTCCTCCCCGGCCGCACCGACAATGCGATCAAAAACCACTGGAATTCGACGCTGCGCCGGCGATCGCTCCACCAGCAGCAGATCCAGCACGAGGACGACGAGCACGAGGAAGACCGCCGCCCCGATCGCAGCGAGGAGGAGGAGGAGGAGGAAGAAGAGGACGAGGCAGGCGTGGCCACTCCCGCGATTTCTAGCAGGAAGCGCGCAAGCGTCGACGCGGCGGCGGAGGATGGATCATCCAAGCGGCCCAACCTCATTTCCTTCGACATCGCGTCGCGATCCTCCGCGTTCTCGAGCTACACGAAGCCCGTGGATCCAGCTCCAGCTCCTCCATCTACGCGCTCGACGAGCGACACCGTTTGCTTATCGCTCTCTCTCCCAGGTTCGAATCCTTCCAACACCGACGCCAGGGTCCGGGGCTCGAATCCTGTCCGCGACACCGGTGTAGCGGTCACCGGCTCGATTCCTGCCCCTAGCCCTAGAGCCCGCGCAGAGGAGTCCCCTGCTTGGGCTCCTCCCAGCGGCTTCTTGCGCGCGGACGAGGCCATGGATCTCGTCAATGCCGCGATTAGGGCAGCAGTGGCGCAGGTATTGGCGCCCCCAATCTTGCCCGAGCCGATCGATGCCCGGATCGAGAGTAACAAGGCGCTGGCGTCGATGCTCAAGCAAATGGTGGCCAAGGAGGTCCACAACTACATCTCGTCCGTCCAGGAACAGCAGCAGCAGCAGCATCTCCACCGTAGGCATCACTTTTTTGGGCATCGTTCGGCCGCTGCGGCTGCCACGTCCGCCATGCCACCGCCACCCAGAAGTGTGAGCTGAGCTTCGATCGATCGCGTATGGATGAATCAATGTCATCTTTTGTTTTTGTCATCGAAGGAAACTAGTTGGAAACTAGCGAAGAAGTTCGTTGAAAATCGCGACTGACGATAGCTCGGCACAGTGTATGTTTCCAAGTAGTGTTAAGTTCGGGATTATTTTATACCTTTGCTGGTGCCAGTGAGGATTCTCATCCCCAGCGCCCTTCTGTGACAATTTGAAGCTCCATGACAAACAAACAAACCTTGTCCCATTTCTCCTGGGCCACGCTTTGGAGTTCTATTCCAGGATCCATTTACTGTCATAATCTTGCAGCAGGAGGGCATCCACTTGGCTGTGATGACATTTCCCTGCCAAAGCTTCATTCCTTTGCAAGGGCAGGATATGGCATTTTGTTCGCTCCCGTCAACCACTGTGGCAATGTCATCCATGCATTGGAATCCCCACTTACATCATAAAGAGGTTAGCTAGATGCTAATTAAATGTCCTTAAGCCTATATAATCTGATCTTGCTTGTATAGGTTAATCCTTGATGTCGACTATTAGTATCATATGATGAGCATATCATGGGCATTAGATGAGCACATTCATTGGATTGCATAATGTGGTCGCTTACTTGTGTTTCCAGGCTAAAGTCCTCAGTAAAATACTGGACAAAAGGTTCTAAGCTATGTATTAGATATGGCTTTTTGCTATGCTAACTAGTGAAGCTTCCAATACAGATGTCACTGGTGATAACAATAGACTACGCTAAAGAGAATCACCAGGGGCCTGAAGTTGACAAGATTGTTGGGTCAATCCAGTAAGAAATCCAAACATTGCAAAAGGCTCTCAAGAAGCTTGCATCAGTAAAGGTCAACAAATTTCCTCTCACAGATTGTTGTGGGAATCTCATATTTCTTACTTCCAGGTGATTCAAATGGCAGCAGAGGTTGAGAAAACGGAGGAAAAGAGGCTACTCCAACCAGGCAGCAGGCAAGGAAGAAGGATCATCACGAGGTATGCTCAGAATGGGCATCAGACAGTAGCATTTTTTCTCTTCAGGACGGAATCGCTTCTAACAAGTTCGTGTTGGTGAAAGCCTTAACCAGTGCTTACTCGAGCCTTACACAGGAGCAGATGTTTATTAGAGGCAGTGAGTGGCTCCGACCGTGTTGCTGGAAATACAGCTATCAACATGTATGAGAAGTTTGGGTGCGTGGAATCGGCAAAGGCTGTGTTTGACAGAGTTATGGCGGCAGAGCTTTGGCCAGCGGCAGAGATGCGAGTGGGCTCTCCAGATGTTTCGAAAGCTCACCTCTGAAAAAGAAATACCATGAATAATAATTCATATTATACAATTTGTTTTTATAAAGGGTTTGTTGTAAATATTATAAACTATACTATAGTTTCTTATAAACTATGTTATACTTGTACTAGTTTTTCTCATCAAATGTTGGACTGTGCAAAACTTCTGTATATATATATATATATATATATATATATATATATATATATATATATACATACACACACACACACACAATACAATATAGACCATGCTCTTGGAAATATGAATATATTTAGAACATAGATTTTAAGAAAACTAATACCCAACCCAGAAAAAAGTAAAAAATGAATTGCTAAGAATAAATAATTTTTAAATATATTAGCTGCAAAGTATAAGCCAATAATATGAGTATAAAGAATTTAAGAACACTAATATAGAAGAAGTACTAAAAATATATTTATTAATTAGATGTTAATGCATGGTATGTTTACTTGGGATATAAGAAAATTCAGAATACTAAGATCTTAAGAATACTAGTATAAAAAGAACTATTACTAAGAATAGTTATTATTAATTTAGAAAAAGCATTATTTAATTATATGTGTTTAATATGAATAAATATATAAAATTAATATTACTCAGAGCCATAAAGAATATTAGCTCTCTCCATGCACTCACAGCTTAATATCCAAGCCTTTTTGTTTGTTCATTAGACTTAATTCAAAAATTTCTTTCAGTGCTACAAACAATACATGGAGCAAGAATCAAAGTCAATAGTAAATTGATGGAGATAATGCCTTTCTTAGTTTTTGCCACATCATCAAGCATATGCATTCCTCATAGTGCCTTCTTCACTAATCCAATCAACACTTTACATATGACATGTGTCCCAACGCATTCCTTTCTTGTATTAGGCAATTGACTATCTCCTATTGCTAAAAGCAAACATCAGTGCAATTATTTGATAAGACATGGTTAAGTCAATAACCCTTTGATAGTGCCATTGGCTGGATCTGGCGGCCCAGAAAGATAATATAGTTACTTTATAATTATTTGAATTTGAATTAACTAAGTGTATCTGGTAGAATATTTCTTTTAATTGATGCATAGCCATACCCATCCCTCTTCCACTCATTCCTTGAGCTAAGGTTTTTGAATTTTCTTGCCTAGATCAAGGTGTTAACATGAGTAAGCCTCTAGTAGTGGTGAATTAACTCTGGATATATTTTTATTGATTTAGGTAGTATATCTTCAACAAGATCCCACCTTTTTGGGTATGTATGATAAATATACATCTATAATGGATGGATCCAAAATTACAGTCATAGTGGATGGATTGGAGTAAAATGAACATTAAATTTTTCTATATTGAAACATTGGGTTGGAACAAACATCTAGATTATCTGTAAGATTGAGTTACACAAGTTTAGGTGGTAATGTAAAGGGGTTGTGCGCCCATTAGAGTGCTGTTACATGGGGCGGGTTCCCAATCCAAATCCAAATGTTGATTAGATTCTGTGTTAAGGTCCATGAATATGTCCAAATTTTGTAGGGCATTATAATTTTGAAAGTAAATGTGAAAAATTGATAGTTTAGAATTTTCATTAAGCTTCTCTAATTAGTATAGAAGAATAAGAGTTGTTTGTGTTGTAACAACTAAAGGAATTTGCTTATGATAATATGATGTGTGAAAGTTATGCTTAGTCCATAAAAACTCTCAAAACATAAAAATCATATTAGAATATTATTATTTGTTCTACTTTAGAAGATTCTAAATAATGTTCGGTATACCAGCTTTTTCCTCATGTCAACAAAAATAACAATTGTAAAGCTCAAAACAAATCCAAACATTCCAAAGCCAGAAGCAATCAGAACAATCCCGACTTTGCCACCTCCGATATTACTGTTGTCAATATTATCAAGAGAATTTGGTGGTCTACAAGCACTAAGAGGAAAGCCGCATAGATATTCATTTCCTTCAAAACTACTTGGTTTAAGTGTTGTCAGTTGACCACCTTGTGGAATAATCCCAGATAAGTTATTGCAGCAAAGGTTCAATGCTGATAAGGAAGAAAGTAATAAAAATGTATATGGAATCTCCCCTTGCAAGTTGTTATGAGAAAGATCCAAAACTGCCATATTCTTAAGCACTCCTAGTGCTGCTGGTATTACCCCTGATATATCATTGTGCCCAAAGTTGAGGTATTGTAAGTCTTGCATTTCGCTCAACTGGGATGGAATCTCTCCATAAAGATTGTTATGTGAAATATCAATATGAAGAGGACTACTGATGTTGTATCCATAAGTGAGAGCTGGAAGCAAATTTACATTAGGAAAGCATCCTCCACTTTTAATTTTTAAAAGCTCTTTCATTTTGTCCAAGCTGATGCCCTGTATAGCAAAGGTGGTGTCCATGCAAATCCCTGCTTCAGTGTCTATGGCTGTTTTCAAGCTGCCGAGAGTTGCTTTCACAAATGTCTTCCCAGTGAATCCTAAAATAGGAGGAATGTTTCCAGTGAGCTTGTTTTTTCGGAGCTCTATCACTTGCATGCCCATCCTGCTTGGAACTTTCCCTTGTAATGAATTGTTGCTCAGTTGCAAGACAAGCATCTCTTTTGCATTTTCCAATGAAGGAATCTCTCCAATTAGCTTGTTGTTGCTCAAGCTTAACCACTGGAGCTTGATCAAGCTAGAGACTAGCTCTGCAGGGATGTTTCCTTCAAGATTGTTGTAGCTGAGAATGATCATTGTCAGGTTGTTGCACGCCATAAGATTTGATGGAATGCCCCCTTCAAGGCTGTTCACCCATGCAAGAAAGTATTCAAGCTTGGGAAGAATGTCACAAATATCCTCTGGTATCTGTCCAGTCACTGAGTTGAAACTTAGATCCAACATCTTCAAGGCATTGCAAAGCTTCAGGGTGTCCAGCACTCGTCCATTCAGTTCGTTGTTCACCAAAATCAAGCTCTCCAGTTTTGATGTCAATGGACAAGTTTCATTGCTGGTGATAGTAAAACTATTGGAGCTGAGATTTAGATGCCTGAGATTTGTCCTGAATGCAGGGACCTGACCTTTGAAGGCATTGTAGCTGGCATCAATGATCTTTAGATATGGCAGAGAAATAAGTGAAGGAAGATAACTGGAGAAATTGTTGTGAGCCAATGAAATTTGCTCCAAAGCAGTACACCTTCTGAATAGTGTCTCTGGAATCTCTCCTGTAAAGCTATTGGTGGAAAGATCTAGAGATTTTAAGCTCCTGCATCTAAGGAAAAAAGAGGAAGGAAGATTGAAACCCAACTTGTTATCTGAGAGATCCAGCACTTCCAACTTGTCACCAATTGAAAATTTAGAGTCAATGTGATGAAACCCTCCACCAAGATGATTGCCTGATAAGTTGAAGACCTTTAAATTCTTGCAGCCCATCAGGAGCTCTTGGACTAGATTAAAACTGGAAGACATGTTTTGGTTGCCAGAAAGATCCATCCATTCCAGCAAGCATGACATATTTGATTTCGTGTTGGCAATAAGCTCGTCTTTGAAGCTGCTTCTCGAGACATGAAGCTGGCGGAGAAAAGGCAATTCCTGGATCATAAAAGATAGAATAGAACCTGAGAGTGTCAAATTCTGGAGATAAAGACCAGAAACTCGATCTTTCTTTGAGCAACTCACGCCCTCCCACTTGCAAACACTCCGATTAGATCCCCAGCTCGAAAGTACCTTGTATGGATCATGCACAGAGCTCTTCAGTCTTAAGAGCACGCTGGAGTCACTCTTGGATGAATTTGCCTCTGCTGCCGCGAAAATGGCAAACAAGACGATCAAGAGATAGCAATTCAAAAGCATGATCATGCACTAGACTACCTTTTCTCTTCACTCAAACCTGTTTAAATAGTCCATGAGGAAACTTGTCATGTCCACTAGAAAGATCTCTTCTACAGCTATTCAAAAGTTTGTCAAAGTATTTGGTCCCACTTCTCACCTTCCCTGGACCTTCTTTCATGACCCACGAGAAATAGAAGTCTGTGGGATATACTTGTTCTAAGTCCAGCTTAAGTATATTCATTAGCGATTCTACTTTTTTATTGGGATTCGAAACCGTGACCTTTTTTCGTTTGGGGATTTTAGGGTTCTTGGGCGAATGCCGCGGTACACGACGTCCCAGACCTACACAGAGGGCAACACCCAGGTAGTGACTCTCGCCAGCACTAGGGGCGATGGCAAGGCGCTGGTCCCAGCCTCGGAGCCGGCGATCCCAGAGATCCCGGCCGAGGACGAAGACCTCGAGATTAAGCTCCGGCGGATCACGGAGCAAGTTCCCGTGCGCATCAGCAACACATCTGGGAGCTCCGCTGGGTCTGGCTCGGGAGATTTCCACCAGGTAAGCGCGATTTTTCTTTGTTTTTGGCCCCAGAGTATCGATATTTCGGCCTGCGCAGTACCGGCAGATGAGACGCAGGGAGCAGGATCGCCTGGCGCGGATGGAGGCGGATTATCAGAGGAAGAAGGAGCAGACGGAGTTTGCGATTCGTCGCGAAGCCCGGCTCAAAGAGGCCGAGGAGCGAACGGCCAAGAGGAGGGCAAAGAGGCTAAAGAAGAAAGAAAAGAAGAAGCAAAAGAAGGACAAGGCGGTGAAAGAGCCAGGCGTGGAGGAGGCGGACAAGGCGAAAGGCGCAAACGCTGGAGAATCCAGCTCCGACTCAGAGGCCGAGTAGTAAGGTAAGCTCCCATTTTTCTATGGTTTCTTTGTTCGCTAATGGATTGCCTTGACAGGAAAGGTGGTAGTTTATTTCCTTCTCAAAGCGGAACTTTGAATATATAGCTCAAAGTCAGGCAAGCGTTGGAGCTTTGTCACTTAACCTTCGTATTTTTCTCTCTTTGTTAAGATCGATGCCCAGATGCTTGATCCTGGCACAATGGTAAAAAACTTCTGGTGCCCCACCTCGAAGGATAGTACATCTAGAAATAAAAAATGGAAGGAAAGCAGAAAAGTCTACATTGGGACGGACTGAGCATGGACGGGCTTGCGTACGTATATAAATCAGAGGTAAGCGATCAATCGATCCATTCTCACTCGCAATGCATCTCCATCGACGTTCTGTGTTTCTCCTGATGATATCGATATCTCTTGTGTTCTTCACCAGGGGGATCCTCGCGCCGCCGCCACGCCTGGGCCTCTTCCTGCGCAGGGCCTACTACGACAGGCTCACGGTGGCTGAGGTGAGAGAGCTCATCGGAACGATCATAGAATATGTACGGAACTTGAACCTCCGCGAGGTTCGCGTCAACGAGCCCTTTGCGTGGGCGGTCACACTGACGGGGAGCGTCGTGGTGCGAGTGCAGCTGCTGGTGATGAACCAGATATGGGGGGAAGATCGCGGGGGGATATGCTCCATGCCGTCCTCCAGCAACGTGTATCCGTTTGGGGATATGGTAAACGCTGTGCGTGAGATGGGGGAGTCTATCTTCTACGAGCTTTTGGATCGAGAGCGGTGGTACGGCGCGGTAGAGATTGTGTTGAGGGCTTTTGGGATCACGTATGAGGTGCAGAGGGACGAGCTCTTGGCTCTGGGTGCTGGCTATGGAATCATGAGGGAGTGTAGTATATATTGAGGAAGTTGCGAGCATTATTCAAAGACCAAGCAATTAGTTAGACATGTTTATTAAAGGTAAATAGATATTACTAATATTTGATTCCTTGGCACATTCTGAGATGTACTTGCATTTCCACTTTGACTCATGCAGAAGAAATTGTTCTCACAGTTCTGGGGTAGTTGTTCCCGGCCATACAACAACGATGCTGATACTCCAACTAGAAGGAGTGATGTTGCACCAGCTTCTGCAGCATTTAGCAGTGCTTGATCATCAGGCACTGAGGTGAAGAATTGTCCTATCCACCAAGTTTTAGCAAAGCTTCAAATGTCAAAGATACTCAAGAAACTAGAATGTCATTCCTGATGTTGTAATGTTCAAGTAGCAATGTTCCCCACAAAAGCTAATTTGTATGGTATGGTTTTGCCTACTAGGGCTGGATGAAACCATCATATGGTACTCTCATACTTCTCTACTAAGTACCATGTAAAACCTGTTTCAAAACTAAAATTCCATGTCAAAGCATTTATAAATCAATATATACTTGTGTTTATAACTAATCTACAAGTTAAAGTGGGAAAATTCTTGTAAATTCAACAATGGTCCTTGATTTTAAGCATTTGCCCTGCAAAAAGGAAATTGTGGCATAACTTTAACTCCACTCTCCTAGACATAATCTCGGGCTAACATTTGTCCCCAAATCAACAAGCTAAAACACAAGTATTGAATTTTTAAACATATTCAAAGTTTAGAATTTATATTCAAGGTAGCTTACATCAAGAAAGATCTAAAGACTGATATAGTGAAACAATTTAAATCTCAAGCAAGAGGGATCTGTCATCCAAGGAGATAATAATGCTAGATGGAGTGTGGCCACAAGGCCATCCAGCTCCTTCACATCCATGTCTCCTGTGAGCTGAAGTTTAGAGTCCTCTCAGAAGCTGGTAGTGTGGTGCTTGTCAACGCACCTCCACCTCCTACTCCCCCTAAATGCAAGAGCACAAAGTTCCTTGTAGGTGAGCTGGCCTTCATATTGTAAATTGATCATTGGATCACATTCTAGTGGGAATTTTGAACCTACTAAGCCCTAAAAACTGACATCACAATCAGAGAAATCTAGACCCATGCAAAAGGTATGAAATACATTATTTTAAAAAATTTATTTATCATTTCAAGCTGACAATCTCTATGTATATTAGGGATGAAAAAGGACTAAGCTGGATTGGAATTGAGATATTTATTAGGAGCAGATAAAAAATGGGGACTATTGTTGCATTAACAAAGCTTCTTTATTTCTTGATCAGAGCCAAGCCTCCTTGACCTTGCCTTGTAGTAATCCTTGCTCTATTATGCCTAATATTTCCCAGCTTTGTTCCATCTACAGAGTGGAAACGGCTACCCATAAATGATATTCCAAAGTAAAAACCCCCATCAATAATATTGAATCGATGTTTTTTTGAAAAGCCCAACCACAGCCTTATATAGCAAAAATTGACAAGCATGAGCATAATGGCAACACACTCTAGTAGGAACTTTGAACCTCTCTTGTTTGTCATCTAGAATTACATAAGTGTCTGATGTTACAAGGGGTGCCACCTAGGCATCAAATCAACCTCACATGGGCCCATGTGCAAAAGATATGAAACAGAACAGCATGCATTTGTACGTATTGCTTGCTCAACTCCCATTTTAGAGATTCCACTTGACTTCTAGGTAAGAGTTCAAAACTAATTAAAGCTAGGTGTTTGCTAATGGTTTACAACATTGCCTTTGCAGAAGAGGCATTAGTTTATTTTTTCTAAAATGCAGAACTTGCCTACTATACAGATAAGCTTTCAAGCTTTAACACTACATATAAAATATGTATAAACTTCTATGCCCCATTTTGAAGTTACATGTTTAGAAGAAATATATAATTGAAGGAAATCCAAGGCTCTTCTCTTAGGTTGTGAAATTATTCTCTATGGTTAGTCAGTTGTAATATAACATATTTTAAATCTGGTTATATCCAAAGAAAATATAAGTAAAATCTTGTTATATCCAACGAAAATATAAATGGAATATAATTCCATTCATATATGTAGATTTTCTTTTCTCCTTGATTAAGTTTTTACCACTAATAAAAATATTAGATCAAGTATATGGTATGTGGTTTCACATCTCCAGGCCCCAATATGTCCAGCCCTAGATATGTCAAGCTCGAAATATGTCAACACTTCATACACTCATGGTGGGATGCTTCCAATGTTATTCCACTTTGAGTCCTTTGTTTATCTCTTTCAGTTTGTAAGCCATGCCTCTTTAACCACTTCCTTTTTTACAGTTAAAGAGTTAAAAATATAAAAAGTAAATAGAAAAAGTAAAAAAAGGTATGGCAAGAATATTTTATTTTTTTACTTTCCAAGTCCCTCAATACTGATTATATTCTCTAGTGATTCCGTAGCCAACCCAAAGACAAGAGCTCATCCCTCTGCACTACATAGATGATCCCAAAAGCCCTCAACACAATTTGCTATAAAATTCTATAACTGCTGTGATTAGCTGAGACTGTTGTAAAATGACTTAAGCTGTGGCTTATGAAAAATTATTTTAAAATAAAGTGATGTTTTAGGATAATTTAGTTTTCATTTGTAATAGAATATTTATTAAGCTAATAGTCTCTACAGCACCAAAAATCATGAAAGAAAGGAATATCTCACCAAACAAAAAATCCTGAAACTTGTGCTAAACCTTTTCCTGAAACTTGGTCAAAAGCCATATGGAAATGATATAGAGCTAAATTGTGTTTTTTAGGTTGTGACAAAATCCACTTGTAATGATCAAAAGACCTTTTTCACACAATGTGGAAAATCTCAAGAAATTCTTCTAAACTTCATCAAATGATGAAATTATGAGTTAGCACCAATCTTCACTATTGATCTGAGAATTTATAATTCTTGTGTCAGTACATAGAGTTCAGATTGGCAGAGTTAAGAAATCTCTTTAAACATCATTAAATTAGCACCAATCTTTCAAAAACGCTTGTTGTGTTGTCACAAAACTATTGATTTGAGAACTTGTAATTCTTGTTATCAGTATATAGAGTTCAGATTATATGAAAAACAAAAAAAAAATAAAAAATAAAAAATCAAGAAGAAAGGTGTGAAGGAGGCCATCTTTGTAAATATCAAAAGTAATTTTAAAAAATTCCAGAGATATTTCACTTCATGTGTAATTACAAATTTGCAATGCATTTCCACAAGCTCCTCATGATATCTCACTAAGGAGTCCACATGCACCACTCAACAGGTGAAAGAGCTTGCTGGAAAGATCATAGAATATTTAGAGAACTAGAACCTCCACAATTGAGTGGGCAGTCACACTGATGGAAGTGTTGTTGTGGTGCAAGTGAAGCTGCTTGTGATGGACCAGATATGAGGAAACAATCACGGGGAATATGCTCCATTCCCTCTTGCCGTACAACGATCCATTTGGTACACCGTATGTGAGATGGAGAGAGGTGGTACGGCCGGGTAGAGATTGTGTTGAGGGCTTTTGGGATCACCTATGGGTCTCTGGGTGGTGATCACAAGGGAATGTAATGTGTATTGAGGAAATATAATTCAAGGTGGTGGGAAGACTTTAAATTATTAATGCTTTACCTTTAAGTACAGCATAAATATTATTCTATCTGACAAAAAAAATCCTTTTAGGTTCGCAAAATATTCTATTGTTCTAGAATATACTCGAATATTTGTGCCCTAGAAAATCTTAAGCTGGGGAAGAGGAAGAATGCGGGAAAGCGCCACTCATGCTGCTGCTCGCGAGATTATCGCCAGCTCTCCACAGCAGGGAATGCGCACAGTCCGCGGGAGGAGGAACCAAGAAGGTAATGCGCGATTCTAGAGTGGAAATCATCAAAGACTCCATTCTTTCCAGGGAAGTTCTACCGATGCGTTGAAGATCTATGAGAGAATCAGGAGGGATGGAGCCACGCCCAGCGTGCCAATCACTCTGGCAGCGCTCAAGCTGTGCAGCAGCTCCAGATATCTGGAAGCCGGGCGGACAATCCACCGCGAGCTCAGTGATTCGCGAGAGATGGCAAATATTTTCGTGGTGAACACCCTGATCGACATGTACGCCAAGTGTGGTAGCGTCGGCGAAGCTCGGCAACTCTTCGAGATCACTGCCACTGCGCGCTCCTCCACGGTGGTGTCCTGGAACGCGATCATCGCCGGCTACGCCGATTGCGGCGAGCCTCGCGTCGCGCTCGAGCTCTTCCAGCGGATGCTAGACGAGGGATTTCGACCGGATGGCCGGACTTTCGTGGCGGCACTGCGAGCTTGCGCGATCCTGGCACTGGAAGAGGAGGATCGCCAGATTGGCGAGGACAATGTCAAGAGCAAGCTCCTGGAGAGAGGGATGGCTCTACACTCGCAGGCGTGCTGCTATGGGCTGGAATCCAACGTCTACGTCGCGAATACGCTGGTGGACATGTATGGGAAGTGCTCGAGCATGGCCGACGCGAGGAGGGTGTTTGATCGGAGCTGCCACTGCGTGATCTCGTGGAACACGCTGATGATGGGATACGCCGAGAGTGGCGATGGTCAGGAGGCGCTGGATCTCTTCCAGCGGATGGAAAGTGAGGGATTCCGGCCGGATGGTCGGAGCTACACCGCTGCGATCAAGGCTTGCGCGAGCTTCGCGTCGAGAGAAGATGGAAAGCTCTTAGATGTCGTAGATGGTAGCACCAGCAGCGAGGGTGGCACCAAGATCAAAGATGGTAACAACGATGGTAGCACCGAGATTCAGGATAACAGCGATGGTAGCTCCAGAATGATCGAAGATGGTAGCACTAAGCTCAAGATCGCTGGAAGAAAAACCAGAGTTTTCAAAGCTGGAGCGCTCGAGAGGGGCTTCTACCTCCACGCTCGAGCTGCCAGCGACGGATTCCAGTCCAGCGTCTTCGTGGCCAACGCGCTCATCGATATGTACGGCAAGTGCGGCACCGCGGCAGACGCGCGGCGGATATTCGACGCCATGGTAGACCGCAACGTGGTGACGTGGGCGACCATGGTGCTGGCATATGCCGAAAATGGCGACGCCGGGCTCGCGCTGCGTCTCTTTCGTACGATGCGCGAGGACGCCGGGTTGGTGCCCGACTCGGGCGCTTACATCGCGGCGCTCAAGGCGTGTGGAGCGCTGGCGGATCTGGAGCGGGGGCGGAAGCTCCACGAGGAGATCGCGGCGCGGGACGATCTGGCCGCGCACTCGATCCTGGAGACGTGCGTGCTGGATTTCTACGCCAAGTGTGGCAGCATGGGCGAGGCACGCCGGGTGTTTGATTCCATGCCCCGCCGCGATCTCGTCGCCTGGAACGCTCTCATCGCCGGGTACGCCGATCAGGGGGACTTCGATCGCTGCTTCCAGCTCTTCGACGACATGGGCGCCAAGAACAGTGGAGTCCGCCCGGATGGAGTGACGTTCCTCTCGATCCTCTCGGCCTGCGGCCACGCGGGCCTCGTGGATCGAGCCAGATTCTACTTTGCGCTGATGCGATCGCCGCGGTTCGGGGTGGATCCCAGCGTGGAGCACTACAACTGCATGGTGGATGTGCTGGGGCGCGCGAATCAGCTGGGCGAGGCCATGGCGATGGTGGAGGAGATGCCGCACGGGGGCAATGTAAGGCTGTGGACGTCGCTGTTGAGCTCGTGTAGGAAATGGGGCAATGTGCGCGTCGGGAAGATCGCGTTTGAGGGGCTCCTGGCGCTCGACGATCGAGGATCCCCGGCGTACGTCCTCATGGCCAACAGCTACGAGAACGACGAGTTTCTAGGGTTCTTGAGCAGAAATTAGGGCTCCTTTGACTTTTCTGGTCAAAGGTTGACTGGTCTGGTCAAAGGGGGAAGGTATGATTCCCGACAAAGACAACACACGCGGGACGCGTCGGCGCACACGAATCCATCGCGCCTCCTCCAACCAATTCCTTCTTTTTCAAAGTACACCAAAGCTTTTTGATTGATTGGAAAAACTATTTCAAAGATTACAAAAGTTTACAAGGGGATCAGCTTGAAATATATATGTACAACAGGCTCTGCCGAGAAGCGAAGGGGAAAGGGGAAAATTTTTTCTTGTTCTCAACCGACTTAACCGATCGAGAATCGAGAAGGGAGAAGGAGAGGCACTCACTAGATTTCTTGTGTACAAGAGAAGAGGGGCGACGAAACCAAATGGAGAAAAGAGACGATGACGATGATAATCCGAGGCTCTTTGCCGGAGGAGAGTGCTTGCTTTCGCTGGAACGATGATCCTCGTTCTTATTTGGTTGAAACACCTGTGCTAGCAGCAGCGCAAGATCTCTCTCGCCAGCTTACGAGAGAAAAAAGTATACAACCTCCTTGTGAGTTGTGACGATGGAGGAGGAGAGATGAAAACGAAAGAACTTTGCCAAAATCACCAGCTTGCCTGAAGTAGTAACTTGGGCGATGGAAAATTTGAGGACGAAGAGGAAAAATAACGCGCAGCTCCCCCACTATGCCAGCGCCGAGACGCTCCTCGAGTCCGGACCGGATGGAACGAATCCTTCCACTCGGACCGGAGGCTTGGACGCTCGGGCCGGCTCGCGGACACTCTTTTGCTGCTGGGAGCATATCAGAGGAGACGCGGCCGCGGTGGCGGCGGCGTTGCTGCGCTGGTGTGTAAACTGTACATCATGTATAAGTGGGTTGCCTGCTCGGCTCGGTGGCGAGCCACAAAAATATGGTGGAGAACAACAAAAATTTGATGATTCCCCGGAGGAGGCCTGGCATAGAGAAACAAAACCAGAGCTGTGTGTCAGCGACCAAGCCCAACTCTCTAGATCGAACAAACCAATCTTCGCTTACCTTCCTCAGAAAAATGTCAAGGATCTCAAAGCCCACATCCCCGTCACTAGAAACGAAAGAAAAAACAAGAGAAGAGTTAGCACCAAGGACGAGAGAGAAGAAGAGAAAGTTCCTCCATCGTACCCGCAGTGCATTCGAGTGGAAGGATGGGGCTTGAGAGGCTCCGGAGAGAAGCAAGAGACCACGGTAGCCGGCCTTCTGGGCTTGGGACACACTAACTCTTCGTTGACTTTGCTATCTACATGGATCCCCGACCGGACGCGCCACCGCTCGTTCATCTCTCCCAAACTCTCTAGGATTTGCTCGGCATTGCCGAGGCTCCGGGGGGGATAGAAATCCAGCTTGCTCTTCGAGGGACTAGTATTTACAGCGGCTGTACACGAGAAAGAGAGCTCCACCACTCTATACATACAGGAGGAGCAGCGAGAGGGGAGAGAGGAGAAAAATTCCGAGGGAAATCTTACAAGAGCTCAGAGAAGGAGAAAGGGGGGGAATCAAAATCTGGGAGCGTACCAAAATGTGAGGCGTCGGCCGCGAGAAGAACACGGCGGCATAGATCCGCGCAAGCGGCGTCGAGCGGCGTGTGGCATTCGATCGATCGATCGCCCTCAAACCCTAAACTCTCGGAAACCCTCGGTTTCCAGTTTGGGCCGTCTTATCAGGACCGTCGAGCCAAAGCCAGGTCGTAAGGATAGGTCTGGGGCGAATCGTGGCCGTCGGTCTCCCGCCTTGGACGGCGGCGATGCGCCGCGTACAGCCAGACCTAAAGGGCTGAACGGCAGGCTGATGCTGTCCGTCGATCTGACCCAATGGACGGCCCAAGATGGTTGGCAACTTCCCTGGTAACTGCCCCCATCTTGGAAAGCAAAGATTGTGACAAATTTGCCCCTTCCAAGTAAGGTGGAAAATTTTCACCGCGAAATTTTCACATGAAACAGACGAAGGTGTGCTTGCCCTATTTTAGCTATGCCAGGTCGCAGGCTACCCTAGTTTGCGATGAGCGCTCTCGTCGCGCGCGGCTGGAGGCGAGCAGCGATCGTCGGTGGCGGCAACGCGCAACAATTCCTGGTATGTGGATGGATTACTGGTCGATCGATCGGGGCTGCGTTGACAGGGATGGAATTCTTGATTGTGTAGCCGATCGGACTGAGGGGCTCATCCAATCCATGCCGGGCCGCGCGGCACTTGTCTACTGCGTCTTTCATGCCCAAGAAGCCGCTGGATGGCATCGACAAGTTCCTCCTGGGATCGATTTGTTTGATGGGAGCCACAGTCGCGAAGGAATACTATGACTTTTCCCAGGAGCAGCGAGCATTGGTAGGAAGTCTTCTCTGTTTGCTGCTTCTTCTAAGCATGAGTGATGCTTTTCTAGGCTACCAAACACGAACCAAGGGCACACGAGGAGGCTCCAAGGGATGTGAAGGCCGAGGTGGAGAAGGCCTACGAGGATCACTTGAAGCAGATCGAGGTACGATCTCTGGCCTTTCAAGCTGTAGCTGCTCACAATGGTTTTCAGGCCAAGTATGAGCAAGAATTAAAAGAAGCTCAAACAAAGGCATCGGACAGTGAAGCTCGTGCTAAGCAACTGGAAAAGGTATTGCTCTTTCTTCGTTTTTCACCAGCCAGAATTACAGTGTGTTACAGGAGCTTGAGAATGAAACAGCCAAGCACGCGTCAGAATTGAAGTCTCAAGCCGACATGATTGCGTCAAAGCTGCAAGAGGAGATCAAAACTCTGGTTGGTGTCGATAGCTTTTTCTTTTTCTTTTTGTGCTCATCCTCCGTCCGTTGGTGGGCATAGAAAGAAGAGGCTAGTGCCAACGCGAAATCCAAACAAAGTGAGGAAGCTGGCAAGGATAAACTTCGTCTTGTGAATGAAATTACAGAGCTCAAACGCCAGGTGATACTTTTCTTCCAAAGGAGGAAGTCACAACTTGACTTTGTTTGAGTTTTCAGGTAGAGGCTTTAGGCCTCAGTGGTAGCGACTTGGAAAAGAGCTATATACTGAGGAAGCTTGCTATGGTAATGGTACGAAATCAACCCTCCTCAGCCCTCGGTTCTGTTTTTTTACTCCCTTATTTTGCCACCAGTTGAGTATAGATGGATGTCACAGGGTGTGTTTGCGTTTGAGAACGCCATGCTCAATGGAGAGCCTCTAGAGAAGGAGGTGGAATTCTTGCGAGGAGGAGATTCTTTGATCGATGCTGCCATTTCCTCGTTACCGGAGGAGGCCCTCAAAGGAGGGTCGTTAAGACCTTTACAGCTTCAAAACAGTGTACGTATATAAAAGAAATCTCTCCTTTCTGACCCCTTATGGCTTACTTTTTACGTTTACATTCCTATTTTTGTAGTTTGTGGAGTCGAAGCCAAAGCTCCGTGAGCTGATTCTCATTCCTTCCACTGGAGGTGGAGCAGTGTCACATTTGATTGCTCGCGGTGCTTCGAATCTCAAGGTATGCTTCTCTATCTACTTTTGCGTTTGGTCTTTCCTCTCTTTTTCACACACTGGAGTTGGACAGGTGAAAGAAGACAACCCTGACGATGGGGGCATTGAATCCGTGCTTGATCAAGTGGAGAGCTTGATGAAAGACGGCAAATTAGTGGAGGCAGCGGTGGTTTTGGAGCAGAGTGTGGAGGGCACGGAAGCTCAAAGTTTGGTGATGGAGTGGGCCAAGCAAGCGAGGCTTCGCGCTGCAATCGAGCAAGTAAACGGCGTCTTACGTGCTCACGCTGCGTCCATTTCCATGAGCTTGGCGTGATCGATCGATCCAAGCGTAACCGGAGAGTGTAAAGACTTTTACGTAATAAGTGTCTCTCTTGATCATACAGATATGGCCATTGCGCAGCTCACAACAAAGCCAAATCCAAATACGAACATGAGAAACCCAACTCCATCACCGCCACCTTTTACATTCCTCTGGAAATCACTGGGAACTTTTGTGTGATTGCATGGAAGCCCACATAAGTGTATGTTTCCCTCGTAAATTTTTGATCCAAGACCGATAAGTTGTTGAATGAAAGGTTTAAAGTGCTCAGGAAGCAAGAAAGTTTGTGGTTCTCTTTTTGGAACTTGTTGTGTGGGAGATCTAAAATCACCATTCTCCTAAACTCCCCGAGCTCAGCTGGAATTTTCCCTGATAGCAAGTTATGGTCCAGTCTGAGGCCTATTAAATCGTCATTATAGGCCAATTATTGGACGGATATAGAGATTTAAGGCCCTTGCATCTCATAAAGAACACAGTAGATAAATTGCCAGTTAGTTGGTTAGATGAAAGATCCAAAACCTCCCGCTTAATTCCAATCACAGCAAAAAATCCATGGAAAAGCTCTCCACCAACTTGATTGTTTGAGAACTTCATAATTTTGCATGCCCTCATTAGAGTTTGAAGAAGATCAAGGCTGGAGGACATATTTCGATTGCCTGATATATCTATAGCTTCTAGCAAGCATGGAATTATGCTGGAGAAGTTTTGATCTTTAAAAGTGCTGTCTAAAACATGAAGTTAGTGTAATTGAATTTTAAATTTAATCTAACTTGAAAAGGAGAATTGAAAGGATGAGATTAGAGGAGCTTTAGTCTAGAAGGATGTCACAATAGATGTAGGTAGGCCATATGCAAATTAGGTGCGAAGGGAAGGTATGTTTAATATAATGGAAGTGAGAGCTAAGCCTGAAAATTGAAGGGAATGAAGCTGGAGACCAAAAACTCGACCATTTCTAGAACAAATTACACCTTCCCACTGGCAGATTTCTCTAGTTGAACTCCAATTTGTAAAAGATCCAAATGGATCATCCACCAGCTTTAATAGAGAAGCAGAATTACTCTTGAAGTTATTTGCATATGCCATATCAAAAAAGATAAAACTAAAATGCCACAAGATTACCAATGGATTGTATGGTCATGGTGTTCTTTGCATTTATCTATGGGTTGAGTAGTCCAAATCAATGTTAATTACACTAGTTTGTACAAAAGTCTTTGGTGGAAAATGTCAAGAGTTATTTGAATTGGAACATTCGATTTTTATATGTATGTTGGGTGATGAGTGTTGTACACTTTGATGGGTTTTTTCTGCACCAAATAATGAACTTTTAAATTACCCTTAACCTATTATATTCACTTTTTAAACTTTGCTAACTTTTTTCCACTAAATTAGTGCTTTTATTTCTACAGCCACCTCAATTCTTAAAATTTTCCTTGAGGTTCTCATCTTTCTATACTTTTGCTAAACTTACATCTCAAGCAAAGACATTAGAGAAGCTTGGATTATGCCTCCAGCTAAACAATATGAAATTTTTAAAATGTGCCCTAATCTAATAATGCTGGATATGGCGGCCAAGCACTACTCTATCGCAGTTGTGGGCTTGGGCTGTATCGGGTCGGCAGCGTGTCGTCATCTCTCAATGTCTTCGCCGGATCCGAGCACCATAATCGGTATTGGCGAGGCCGAGAGCACTCCAGGTACTGGCTCCAATTGTAGTTTTCCCACGGTTTTCTCGTCTCACTACGACCAGGGACGCATCACTCGAGTTGTGGATCCTGATGCCGTCTGGTCTCACCTCGCGGCCAAATCCATTTCCAACTATCCAGAAGTAGAGACCAAGAGCGGCATTTCTTTTCACGGACGCGTCGGGTTTCTCAGAGTCTCTCCATTTTACGGTGGTGCCGGGGATAGCCTCGCAAGATCACTTGAGGTTGGGCTCCAAAACGGTGCCGAGGCAGAGGTGGCGGACGATGCAAGCTCTCGGTTTCCTTACTTTGGATTTGGAGACGAGGATGTTGCGGTGGTCGAGAACGGTGGTGCTGGCTACGTGAACCCGAGAGAGATGGTGAGAGCTCAGCTCGCCATCGCCAGAGAAAATGGGATCCGGCTCGTCCAGGAAACCGTGACGAGCATCGAGCGACTTGGAGAGGGTGGTGGTGTGAAGATCTCAACCAGACGAGGGACGAGTTTTCTAGCTGCCAGAGTCTTGATTTGCACTGGAGCCTACACAAACTTTCTTCTGCCGAAAAGCTTGCAGCTCGTGGTGAAGATCAGAGCCGTGTCAGTGGTGCTAGCGGAGATCGATGGCGATGAAGTGAAGAGGCTGGATGGAATGCCGTGCTTCATATGGCGGCTCAAGTCCAACCCGGTGCTTCATTCCGTGTATGGATGTCCTCCGATCCAGTATCCAGACGGGAGAACATACGTCAAGATTGGAGGCACTACTTGGCAGCCCAAGATCGTCTCCACGGAGGAAGAGTTTCTCGAGTGGTTCCGCGGCGCAGGCTGCAAAGTCGAGACAGATGCTCTGCTCGAGGTGCTGCTGCGGGAGCTTGTTCCGGGGCTGAGAGTGAAGAGCGTGAAGACGAAGCCGTGCGTCGTCTCCTACGCGGCCCGCAACTATCCTTACATGGACAAGCTCTCGGACGAGGTGTTCCTCGCGGCTTTCGGCTGTGGAGCCTCGGCAAAGTCCTCTGACGAGATTGGAAAGATGGCGAGCTCGCTGGTGTGCAACGGCGAGTGGTCCTACGATCAGCTCGACTCGTCGCTCTTCCGAGCAGTGTGCGAGTCCTCAACTTGAAGCTCTTAAAGGCCTGCTCTACAGGATCGGATATAAAGTGATCGAGCATTCTTTCTAGTCCAGGTGTTACTAGCGAGCGGGAGAATCTTTGTCCAGTGATCAAGTAAAGTGACAATATAACTCAGGTATGATAAACTCGGTCTCATTGCGAAAATTTGATTCCCTGGTATCGTTCGTGCAGTCATGACCATTCTAACTATATTTTACGCGAAAAAAATCGCGAGATGGATGCGTCGGTGGAGATTTACCATGCACGAATGTGGTCATCGCCGGGCCCCTTTAAAAAAATCACCACTCCGTTTGGTGGCCTTCACGAGCTCGAGAGAGACATTGCAAAGCTTTTATCGGCGAAGTCGTGCAACAGAGATGGTGGTATATGCGCATACATCTCGTGGAGATATGCTTGCTGGGAACTGGCAGGTGTCGGTTTCTCTGTGGACCGCCGACGCTCTGGGAACCGGCTATAGGAGTTTACTCGTCGATCCGCGGGCAAATCTATCAGTATAAAGCGACGCTCTCGAGTTTCTCACGGATAACATATCTATTTCTTCGTAAAGTTCTTCCAGAGTTCTTCTAAAGCTCTCTCGAAAGTTTCTCTGGTGAGTTGAAGCATTTCTTTTGCTTGATTTCTCTGATCTACAGTCGTGAACTTACATACATTCTTGTGGGATTTGCTCAGCGTTTCGCGACAATGTCTTACGAGGGAAGGAGGAGTAACTACGACGATTCCAACACCGAGGGCGTAGCCACCGGGGAGGACAACTACAGCGGCCGCTATGGAGGAGGAAGGAGCAGGAATTCTTCCGGCTACGACGACAATGAGGATGGATACAAGGCCAAATCCGACGACTACGGCAGTGGAGGTGGTGGCTATGGCGGCAGAAAGTCCGACGGCTACAGCAAGAAATCTGGCGACTACGACAACGAAGGTGAAGGCTACGGGAGAAAATCCGATGACTACTCCAGTGGATATGGCAAGAAATCCGACGATTACAGCGGTGGAGGCTACGGGAAAACCTCCGACGAGTTCAGCACCGAGAACTATGATTCGGAAAAGAAGAGCGATGAATTTGGAGGCTACGGAGAGAAGAACGATGAATTTGGAGGCTATGGAAAGAAGAGCGATGAATTTGGAGGCTATGGAAAGAAGAGCAGCTATGGTGACCGACCGAAGAAACCGGAGGAGGAAGACTACACTCAAGGAGATGGCTATGGTGGGCGGAGTAAGAAACAAGAGGATGGCAATTACGATCAAGGTTCCGGATATGGTGTCCGAAAGGACGATGAGAGTGACTATACAAGGAAAGACCAGGAAGAAGAAGAGTTCTCGGTGAAGGAGAAACTGGACGATGCCGAGGACGACATCAAGGAGCACAGGAGGCACGAGAGAATTGGCATTGTTGGAGGAATGGTTGCTGGAGCTTATGCCGCGGTAAGAGGAAAACGCTTTTCTTCTTCTTGTTCTTGAAGATGGTCAATGGTTTGTTCTTTCAGTATGAAGCTCACGAGGCCAAAGTGGATCCCGAGCATGGAATAAGGCACAAAACCGAGGCCGGCATTGCTGCTGCTGTGGCGACTGGATCTGGCGGGTACGCGATTTACGAGCACCACGAGAAGGAGGAACGCAAGGACGGCGTGGAAGAACTGGAGGATCAAGAAGAAGGAGTCACAAAGAAGAAGCACTGGTTTAGCTAAGAGATCTCCACGATTTCAAGCTCTGGGACATATTTCGCTTTCCAAGGAGCTATCACACCACTTTGTAGAAAGAAGGCGATAAAGCTCAAAGAAAAAGGACTATATGGTTTTGGTTTATATGCTATGAGAATAAATGGAAGATCAAGATGGTTCGCTCCAATATTTCTGGAGAGAAAACACAGATAAGAGTTCACTTGGCAACACGTGGATTTCTTTTTGGTGTTTCGGGTTGGAATTTGGAGTCCAACTCACCGGTCTCATGACAATTTAGCAGAGCATCCCGCGCGGCGATCTCATCATTTTGATGTAAGTTCTTGTGCGCGGCAGTAAACAAGGCGGGTGAAGAAATTTCTTCGAAGCGACGAATCTTTTCCTTGTTTTCACGCTGGATTGGCCTCGCAGGAGAGGGTGCAATCTTGTTGGAATTGATTCGATTGCCAAGGTTTCCTGTGTAGAGGGTGAAGAACAGAAGGTGATCGAACATCCTTTCTACTCAAGATTTTGGGGAAGAAACTTTGTCCAGCACAGTAAACTCACGGATGATCCTTGGTATCGTTCGTGCAGAGTATGATCTATATTCTACGCGAAAAATAATCCCAGATGGATGCGTCGGTGGAGATTTACCATGCATGAATGTGGGTGAATTGGTCATCGCCGGGCCCCTTTAAGAAAATCACTACTCCGTTTGGTGGCCTTCACGAGCACGAGAGAGACATCGTAAAGCTTTTATCGCGCGGGTGGTATATGCGTATACATTTCGTGGAGATATGCTTGCTGGAACTTGCAGGTGTCGGTTGCTCTGTGTCTGGGAACCGGCTATAGGGAGTTTACTCGTCGATCCGCGGGCAAATCTATCAGTATAAAACGACGCCCTCGAGCTTCTCACGGATATATCGGCCAGGAAAAGTTCTTCCATAGTTCTCTCGAAAGTTTCAGAAGTTTCTCTGGTGAGTTGAAGCATTCTCTGATCTAAAGTCGTCAACTTACATACATTCTTGTGGTAATTTCGCAGCGTTTCGCGACAATGTCTTACACGGGAAGGAGGAGTAACTACGACGATTCCAACACCGAGGGCGTAGCCACAGGGGAGGACAACTATAGCGGCGGCTATGGAGGAGGAAGGAGCAAGAATTCTTCCAACTACGACGACAATGAGGATGGATACAAGGCCAAATCTGACGACTACGGCAGTGGAGGTGGTGGTTATGGCGGCAGAAAGAAATCTGACGACTACGACAACGAAGGTGAAGGCTACGGGAGAAAATCCGATGACTACTCCAGTGGATATGGCAAGAAATCCGACGATTACAGCGGTGGAGGCTACGGGAAAACCTCCGACGAGTTCAGCACCGATTCGGAAAAAAAGAGCGATGAATTTGGAGGCTATGGAAAGAAGAGCGATGACATTGGAGGTTATGGAACGAAGAGCGACGACTACAGCTATGGTGACCGAACGAAGAAACCAGAGGAGGAAGACTACACTCAAGGAGATGGCTATGGTGGGCGGAGTAAGAAACAAGAGGATGGCGATTACGATCGAAGCTCCGGATATGGTGTCCGAAAGGACAACGAGTCGATGGATGACAGTGACTACACAAGCTCGAAAATGCAGGAAGACGTGAAGGGGAGATTGGACGATGCCAAGGCGAGCCTTGGCAGTGTGGGAGGCATGGTAAGAACAAAAAAAAATTGAATTTTTTCTTCTTTTTCTGGATCAATGTTTGTTCTTTCAGTATGAAGCCGGAGCAAGGAACAAAACCGAGGCTGGATCTGGCGGGTATGCGATTTACGAGGACCGCGAGAAGGAGGAAAGCAAGGACGAAGAACTGGAGGATCAAGAACAAGGAGACAAGAAGAAGAGGCACTTTTTTAATTAAGAGATCAAGCACCGAAAGTGGCTCTTTTGCTTTCCAGAATCACCACCACTTTGTGGAAAGAACGATGATAAAGATCAAAGATCACTATATAGTTAGCGATTTGTATGGTTTTTAAAATAAGTGGAAGATCAAAGCTATGGTGGAATCATGATGGCCTTGTGACCAAGCTTTTGTTTCGCTCCAATATTTCTGGAGAGAAAACGCAGATAAGAGCTTTGTTTCACACTTGGCAACCACGAGACGCCACGTGGATGGTATATCCGGGCGGCAAAATAGGTGTGTGATGCTTGTTTGACGAGCGAGGTTCGTGTAGTTTTTTCTTTTTTTTTTCCTCTCTTGGTTTTGGGATTGGACATTTTTGGGTTTTTCTGGATTGGAGTTTGGAGGCATGGATCATCAAGCTGATGCCCAGCGCACCGATCTCATGACAATCACTCGGTTCGTGCTCAACGAGCAGAGCAAGCATCCCGAGGCTCGCGGCGATCTCACCATTTTGCTCAGTCACATTGTTCTCGGATGTAAGTTCGTGTGCTCGGCAGTGAACAAGGTGGGCGAACAGATTTCTTCCTAGCGATTGCAATCTGGGAATCTTTTTCCTTTTTTGTTTCAGGCTGGATTGGCCAAGTTGATTGGCCTTGCAGGAGAAACCAATGTCCAGGTGAGTTGGAATTGGAAACTTCGATTCGATTGCAAGGTTTTCCGTACATTTTCCTGTACAGGGTGAAGAACAGAAGAAGCTGGATGTGTTGTCAAACGATGTTTTCGTCAAGGCGCTTAGCAGCAGTGGAAGAACTGTGAGTAAAAATCCATGCTTGCCTACTTTCTAAGGATTTGCTCTTTGTTTTGCTTAGAATGTTCTTGTGTCCGAGGAGCTGGAGGAGGCGATCTTTGTGGAGGCATCTCACCGTGGCAAGTAAGTAAACTATAACTCAAACGTCGCTAATTCTTTTCTCGACTGATCTTAGATACTGTGTGGTCTTTGATCCTCTGGATGGCTCGTCTAACATCGACTGTGGTGTTTCGATTGGAACTGTAAGCCCTTTCCACTAGATTGATCGTCAAAACCAGGTTTTGCTGCAGATTTTTGGGATTTTTCTACTGGATCATGACAACGCAGGCAGCAACGATGATGTTCTCAAGCCTGGCAGTGAAATGGTCGCGGCTGGGTATTGCATGTACGGTAGCTCATGCACGGTAAGAACTTCACAAACTTACAAAGTTTAATGCTTTGTTCTTCTCTTAGCTCGTGTTTTCTACTGGATCGGGCGTGAATGGGTTTACTCTAGATCCATCCCTGGGAGAATTTATATTGACACATCCTGACATTAAGGTAAGTTCGTAAAAGATGATTCCTTTCATTATTACAATGGATGATTGTGAGATGCCCAAGATTGATGATTTTTTCTTTGCAGATACCAAAGAAGGGAAAAATTTATTCCGTGAATGAGGGCAATGCAAAGAACTGGGACGAGCCCACTAGATTGTAAGTTTAGTGTTTTCTTTTTAAAAAGTAAGATTTTGATTTATGACAGATATGTGGAGAATGCAAAGTTCCCCAAAGATGACTCGTCACCAAAGTCGCTCAGATACATTGGCAGGCAAGATTACTCTAAATTTTATATCGAATTCTCAGTTTTTAAGAATATTTGATCTTTAGTATGGTAGCTGATGTCCATCGCACACTTTTGTACGGTGGAATTTTCATGTACCCAGCTGACAAAAAGAGCCCCTTTGGAAAATTACGGTGAGAAAGAACGCTTCCCCGGAATTTTTTTTTTAACTCACTCTTTTTTTACCAGAGTTCTCTATGAGGTGTTTCCAATGTCCTATCTCGTTGAGCAAGCCGGGGGTC